ATTGACCCTCCCTCAGTGCACCTCAGAGAAACAGGGCCTTTTCAGGAGTGGCACCACAGCTGTGAGGCTTCCTTTCTTAGGAGCTCCACCACATACCTTCTCAGTTTAAAATGGGCTTTGAAAATGCTTTTATTCCAAAAGGATGGATGACTTTATCGTCTCCGAGATGCATTAGCTCTCAGTATACTTAGTACAGTATTTTAAAAAGAAATATGGTTTATTATTGTGCAGTTATTTCGATTACTAAGATTCCATGTGGGAATGTTTTACCGAAAGGGAGGTTGTCAATCAAAGTAAATAAGTAAAATGTGAGTGTTGCCAAGGACTGAGCTTGCTGTCAAGTGCCCCCCCCCATGCATATATTTAATATTTGCAGAGTCCTTTCAGCCACTGTTTCCCTGCTAGAACACTGTGAGGTTGCAAAATATTGTTAGCCTCATATTCTCAATGAAGTGTGGCTGGGGCCGGTTGAGCATGTGCTTCCAGCTTGTGTTTTTGCGCAGTGTGCTCTAAAACAGAATATTTTTCTTGTCCTTGTGGAGCAGCTGCAAAGAAACTCCTTTCTTCCATCATTGCTGCATCACTAGATGCCCCCTACATGATTGCAGAGCTCTTTAGGATTCTGAAGGGCAAGGAACAGGATTAAGGGGAGCAAGCAAGCAAGGAGCCACCTATGCTTAACTACAAAGGAGCAAAAAAGGTTGGGGCATGTGAACGAAGTAACACCCTGTAGGGGGCTTGCTCTCACTTTGTGCAGGGCTTCATCCCTCCCCTGCATTCACCTGGTCCTCCAGCTTTGTGCTTGCCCCCTCCCCCTGGCATCCTCTCCTTTTGTGTCCAGTTTATGCTGCAGTGTGTGAGACTTGCTCTGCTTCCAGACTACCTAAGGACTTTGTGCAAACTAATAGCATACCCCCCCCCCATCCAAGATCCTTTATGCATCCCAGGGGTCTTGGAGGAGCCAGATCTTTCTCCTTGGTGGGAGGTCAGAGGCATAATAGACCTGACCAATGCCAGCCAGCATCTTGCTGCCTGGTATGATCGTTGCCTTTCCTCCTTTTAAAAACCATTTGCTGCATCTCCATGCTAAGAAGAGATGCACCTGTTGAATATCTGCCTTTAGCACACCTTTGAAAATAACAGTCTCTTCCCCCCATGTGTGTGTGTCTGTGTGTGCACGCCTGCCATACTTGATTGGCACTGGACAGCCAGTGCTGTTAATATCAACAAAAACATTTGGCTCAAGAGCCTGTTCCATTAATTACCACAAGTGGAAGAACATCAGGGTAATTAAACAGGGTTATGAAAGGGTAGTTATCGCTGATTAAAAGGGGAAAGTTGCTGAAAGTGTTTCAACAATCCATTGGTAGAGGGAGAGAAGGGGATTCACCTTTGGTACTTACTCTTTTTAAATTGGTGACATATGGTCAGATGTGTTACGTTACCATATTGCCAGCAGTTATGCCACCACCTGAGCCTGTTTTGTTGTCATCTGGCCAGGAACCAGGCCATGATCATCCCTGGTGCTGGTCTCCTATTGGCCAGTGGGAAGCTATTTGTATAGTAGCCTACATTCCAGCTAGGCAGAGGTCATGTCCCCATCCTCCATCCAGGTAAGCAAAAAGCATAATCAGACTTCAAGGGCACCTTCCAGCCAGGCAAAAGCAGTTGAGAGAGGAGAGTGCAGAGCATTGCCAGGGAGGCTTTCTGGAAAGGTGGTGTTGCCTGGGGAGAGTCCCAAGAGGGTGGTGGGGAGGAACAGAGGTAGCTGCATCCGGCCAGATTTCCCATCCAATTTAAGATGATGAAAAGTGAGCCAAAGATGATGCAGTCTTAATAAAGTAACTTTCTCCTCTGCAGTTTTAACCCATATTTAATGGCAGCAAAGACAGAGTGAACCTCTGCACGGAATTTTTAGTCATGGATGACTTGAGTTCAAATTCTACATTCTCAGCTGGCAAGAGTCTTTGGGCAGGTTTTTGGGTTTGGTTTGGTTTGCCTCATGTCTTCACCATGTGAAGGGAAAACAATTCCAACCCATCTCAAGAGGATGTGCCATTTTAGAGCAGTGTTCACACCTTTGTTATACCTATCACACTCAAAGCCTAAGTTGTCACTTCAATAAGCAGACAGATCCCGCTTTTACCAAATTGAGATAGTCACTGCTCTGGCTCAGGTAAACCAAGGATGTGGAGCACGAGATACCCTCCCCCCATGTTGTTGAGCCATGGCTCTCATTTATCCCAAGCCACTGGCTTGGAATTGATGGGAGTTGGGAGCCAATGTATGGCTGGAAGGCCATGGTTTCTCTATCCTTAGGGAGCTGGAAATGTGTTACTGAACACATCAATGCCATGGGTGGAGCACTAGATTGAGACTTTCTCTGCTGACAATTCACTATTGAAGGAATGGGGTCCTTAAGAAAACATAGATTTTGATTCAGGATTAGCAATGAATCACACAGAGAGACACAGAGACATCTTGGCTGATAAGAACACCAGCCTAGTTTGCTTTCCACTGCAGGAAAGAGGCAGGCTCAACTTGTGCTGTGGTGGCAGTGGATGATTCAGTAACCACAGCTGCAGGACACAAGGCAGATGCAGAGTTCACTGTAAGGACAAACAAAAGCAGCACTCCTTGCTCTTAGCCTGCAGCATGCTATGTTTGGCATTTAAATATACATACTTGTGTAATGTCAAGCACCACCTAGTGGTCAGATGATGGAAAGGAATGAATGGCAAAATAAGGTTTTTCCCATTTCTGGAGATGCACATATGCGCACATAGGTTTACAACTAGTCTCTTCTCATGCCCACGTATTTGTGGCCTTGGAGAAAACCACACATTACTTTGCGGGTGGTGTTTTGTTTTTTTAAAACTCTATTAAAGCTATAATTCTATAAACAATTTAAAGCTATAAATTTAAAGTTATAAAAACATTATACAGTGCTCCCATCTAAACATTTCGACATGAAATTGAAATGCTTCACTTTTACTAGTTGAAGGAAAAACTGTCTTGAATGAAGGTCCATCAAAAACAAGCAACATACTAGCAGTGCAATCCCGTGTCTAATCAGAATCAAGCCCCTCTGAGCTCCATTGGAGGGACAGCCCTGGAAATGTGAATCAAATTGCAACATAAAGCATGCATAATTGCCACGTGAATAGTATTGCAATGCTGGAAATCTCAAACTGCCCCTAAGAATCAGGTAAAACAGATGTTAGACTTGGGGAGCTAGAAGGTTGGGGAGGGGAGAGGAAATACCATGTAGTAGACGTGGGACTTGAGCTTCCCAGGAATGGAACTGGCTAGAATTTCAGCAGGAGTTGCTTGCATGACAAGCTACACTTGCTGAAATCCCCTCTTCTATCCCAACAGTGAAAGGTGAAGGATATCCTTCTCCTTTTTTGCACCTCAAGCTACCATGGCAGAGGGGCATTTTCATCCAATGAATGTTGGAAGGAATGCTTTTATCACAAGCACATTTCCTCTCCTATATGGCAGAGAGATTAGTTTATTCGCCTAGAAAACAAAGCCAGCTCACCTAGCTGTATTTTTCAAAAGGTCTAATTGATTAGTCGTCCCTACAGTTAAATTATGCTGCTCCTTGCTACCAGTGGCTGCTAAACAGTTTCTCTTATCAGAAAAGATATCAGAAGCAGTTGTGGGCTCAGCAGACCAATCTGAACCCATCTGAAGCAGAGACAGTTCAACCAAAGGCTGGATATTTTAGTTTCATTGATACTCTGCAGAAACATCACATCACATCAGCCAAGCACATGAAAGCAAGAGTTCTCTCCCAGATCTGTAGTAAAGCTTTCTCTCTTGAAGTATCACACTATTGACAAACCAAACCCAGCCAGTTCATTGGCCACACGGAGACCAGAAGTCAGTACAAAGAAAGTAATAAACATGACCAAGTCTGGCCTTTTTCTGCTTAAAAAGGAAAATGATTTAGTACCTGGATGAGATAACTCTTCACACTGCTTGGCTGGCACTGTTAACTACTTTTCCCCAGCTTGTTGGGGCAGAGCATTCACTGCAGCTGAACCATATTAGTGGCAAATGGAACTAGTTGGTGCCTCCTTCCAGGTGCTTTTTAGAGAATTAACAAGCAGGTTTGCTTCTTTCCCTTTGTTCCAGGCTGCATGCACACCATAAATTTGAAGCACATGGTTTCCCCAATGAATACTGGAAATTGTAGTTGCCCTCTCACAGGGCTACAATTCCCAGTACTCTTTAAAAAAAATACAGTGTCCAGGATCGGGGGGGGGGGGAGTCATATGCTTTACACATGCATTGAATGGTATGCTACAGTGCAGAAACTATGGATGTATGAATGACTGTAATTCCAGTTTCAAAAATAGTGAACCAATCCAGAGATAAGACATGGGATTCACTCATTAGGTTAAGTTTTTGGTGTGCTTCTGATGCACAGTAGTCTGGGTTGCACAAGAGCCTGCTTCTATTACATCAAGGGTGAGGTTTGCGGGGAGGGATCATCAACCTTAGGGGACCACTGGGCACATTTGGAATTTTGAGAGTCACAAAATGGCTGCCAAGGGGCCCAGAAGAAGAACACAAAATGAGTGCCACATTTAAAACAACAGAAAAAGAGACAGGACCACAAAAGTGTGGAGTAGGTATGTGTCCCCAACAATCTGCATCGGTCACCACTGCTCTTTCTTCAAAACCGATGGGAAGGGTGGGTGTCTAATCCTGGCATCCAACAAACATGCTCATCTTTCAAATGGCAGCATGTTCGATGCAGGAGACGCCATGTCAGAAATAGGAACTGAGAAGTGCCTCCAGCACTTTGTGGATTTTTCAGGAGATATTGACTGAGACATCATAGGAGGTACTGTCAGGCGCATCATGTGATGCACAAATATTTGAAATATAGTAGTTGACAATCTCCCAGACCCCCGTCCCTGTTACCGATGAGGTGTTTGGCTACTCCGCAAACCCACGTTGTCACTTTGGCCTCACACAGGACAAAATACAGACAATATTAGCTTTATTGGCCAGCAACATAAACTGTATTTAAAGCATGGTTATTATATGAGGAAAAACCAAAGAGCAAGCACAGATTGCTGCCTGGCAACCCCTGGCCCTCTCTTACCATGGCACAATATAGTTCCCCAGTGGAGGGAGGTGGAGAGAAAGCTAGCCATCCACACAAATGCACTTCAGTAGTCAAATACTGTTTCAAGCAACTGCAATCAGGACCTTCTGTTTTCTTGCAGGTTGGGGAGTGGGGAGAGAAACATCAGGTAGGTATAAAGAAATAATTTAGCAATTTAATTTGTAATAATTTAGATACCCACCCACCTTTACAGTGAGAATGGCGCAAAACCTTTCTCCTGCAAGGACGTTTACCATGTGTGATCATGCTTTACGTCTCCCCAGCTGCCTCCTGAACTGTTCCTGAACCTCCTGAGCAAAGCAGCCAAGAGGACACTCCAGTTTTCACTGCACCCATGAGAGGCAATTATGTGACATGGACTTTCTTGGGTGGTGTGTTTATATTAAGTGCTTGCCTATCAGAGCCCACAAAGGGCTGGAGATGGAATTACCTTTAGTCTCTACTTTAGTTGGAGAAAGTCACATCTAGCCAGCTAAGGAAAATCCTGGAGTGTAAGACTAGGTTCCCAGGTTGGGCAAAACCTGTATACGTTGGCCTTTGGTGGTGATGGTGGGGGATCAACTTTCCACAGCCTGGTGCCCTCCAATGTTGTTAGGACTCCCAACTGCTATCGTCCACAGTAAGGTATGATGGAAGCTGGGAGTCTGGCAATGTCAGGAAGGCGCCAGAGACTGGGGGAAAGCTTCCTTAGGCCATGTGATTGCTCTTGCCCCCAGCCAGGTATGTGAAAGGGGACAGGGAAGAATGGGCTATGGAGGGGCAATGCAAGAGCTTCAACGGAACCTATAGAATGCCAATACACAAGCGGCCACACTGTTTACTCGGGAGACTTTCAGTCGGATAGGAGAGGGATGGGGGTCCATATATTGGACTTCAACGATCATCAGCCACCAGCTACTATTACCAATGGCCAGGAATGATGGGAGCTGTAGTCCAACATCTGGAGGGCCCACCTGGTTCCCCATCAGTTACAGGAAGTATATTCTTCAGCATGCTGCTGTTGCTACAATGGACCTACAAATGAGGTGTGGGGAAAGCTGTTAAATGGAAGAGGTACCTTACTGAAATCAAAATGTGAGGCAGTCGTGAAACAGTTCAATGCAAGAATGGGGAAGGAATACTTGGACACGGGCTATACAAACAGGATCTGGACACCTACTCTATCAAGGATGCTTTTAGTGTTTCTAAAACATATTCTGTGAAAACCTTTAGAGTGGGTGAATTCTTGGGAAAACTAGCAAATCTGCTGTTGGAAGCCATTCCTAGAATAGCCTCCTCTACAGCAGGAGAGGCAACTGCTGTAGATACAAAAGATAGCGGCCACTTTCTCTCCTTGCACCAAATAGTTCAATTTGCAATTTTATGCCTTACTGCCAATTGAAATCATTTTGGTATGAAGCATACTCAGTAAATTAATGAAAGAGGGGAATAGGAGAGCTGAATTCTGGGTTTTCATGCCAGCCAGAGAGTACCTGGCTGGCTAATCAGACTTTGAAGATCAACACAAAAGCAAGTAGAAGTATGTTCTCCCCAGTTAAATGATGTGTCATTCTGGGAGAGGATGCTCATTCCTATGAAAAGGGGAGCTGCACAATTCCACAGAGTCGGGTTATCTTGACAGCACAGTTGAGGAAGGAAGCCATTTCAACAGAAAGCTTATTGTTTGTGTGTCTGTTGGAAAAAGTAGGCCAAGGCTTCTAATTAAGAGAACAAAAGAACGTCCTCCAACACCTGGCCTGAAAGGCACAAGACTCGTCTCCAGGGGGGCCTCCTGTTGGGGCAGAGGGAAGGCCCTGAGGATGAAGCAGCCGGCTTTGTGGGTAACCTAGTCCATCCATCTCTCAGGCACAACCTCAAGGAGATCGGGAGAAGAGATTACCCAGCAGAAGGAGGCACTGCCTTGGATGGGAAAGAGCCGCCGCATCAGAACTTCCACTGGTCCAGAAAGGCACTTCTTCTGGGTGCAGGAAGAGAGGATTTAAATCTCCCAACCTGTGAATGCCTTATGCATCCTTGTGGGCTAGTTGTCAGCCGATCGGGGAGTCAATGTCTTGGTTAAAAGAGAGCTAAAAGGGAAACAGGAAAGGTGCCAGGGCCCCTGGCAGCGTTGATGATCTCTCTTTCAGATTGAATGCTTGGGCCTGGGCTTGGAAACATTTCTGGCAGTTAAGAATTCTACAACTCCATGACTCTGGACCACAAAGAAAAGACTGGGTGAGCCCTGGGCCTCCACGACTGCCATAAGGAGGTCAACTGATCTCTCTCTCTCTCTGGCAGAGGCACTGGGTGAGAATAAGTTTCCTTAAGCAGCAGATGTCCTTGCGAGGTTGATTTTTTCTGTGCTGCCGCCTAAAAGGATAGGGTGATGGGATGGAACATGGTGTAGTCAAGCAGGTGGGGTGGTCTTCCAAGCTTCCCTAGTAAGGCTCAGATTTCAAATTCCTGTACAAACAGCAAGTGAAGAGCATCCCAAATATCTAGAAGGCAAAAAAAACAACAATACAAAACATGGGTAAGCAACAGGAGAAGCAATGCATCAAGCCATGTATCTCAGCACCTCTTCATTCTTCTCACATGGGAGAGAATGTTGGTCCCTTGCAATCATACAGAGTTTTGCAGTCAGAAGGGACCGATCTTCCAATATGGGTACAGAGAAAATATGACCTGAAAACTCAGCAGGTGAACCCTGAAGCCTGGGCAAGCTCAGTGGTCTGTAGCTCGGGGACAGCATCTCGCTTTCACACAGAAGGTCCCAGGCTCAGCTTCCAACATTTCCAGGTATAGCTGACCCCTGTCAAAAACCCTGGAAAGCCACTGCCTCTCAGTTACCGCTCAATGAACCAAAAGTATGACTTTGTAAAAGGTAATTTCCTATGCTCAGCTGTAATAGAGATGTGATGCTGCAAGCAAGGGCATTCCTTTGGACAGCTGGTAATAGCTGTTTTCTGTAAGAAGTAAAAGGAAAATCTCGCCCAAGTGAGAAAGAGCCAGTCCTGAGTGAACTGCACTTTACAATGACAGCTGCAAAGGCATGAGAGGAAGGGAGAAATGCACTGGTTCGGCATTAAGATTGCATTAAGATCACTGCACATTTCACCTTTGGCCATTAAAAAAAAAAAAAGGAAAAGGAAACATTCTCATAATTATTTGAAATGGAAAGAGAAGAGAGAAATCGAGCAATGGATAGTTACTATGTGATTGTCAAAACTCCCAAGATATCACTGTGGGTTATTCTGGCAGTGTTCTGAATTTTAAGAAAAAGAAGTTATTCTAACAGCGCCGATTGTGTCTCCAGCGCCGATTGTGTCTCCAGCGCCGATTGTGCGGCGGGCCTGAGAGTGGAGGAGCGCGTGCCCATACGTGTGCGCACACGCTATTTCTGGCACACTTCCGGGTTGGAGAAGCACCAGAAATAGCTTGTGCGCATGTGCACAGGCCTCCTCCGACCCGGATGTGCACCGGAAAAAACGCTTGTGCATGCGCAAATAACGCTTGCACATGTGCAAATAACGCTTGCGCATGTGCAAATAACCCTTGCGCATGTGCACAAGCTATTTCTGGTGCTCCTCCAATCCGGAAGTGGGCAGCCGCGCAGCGCAGCACCAGTAAGAGTGGGCAGTGGCAGCGGGGGTCACCGCGGGCCAGATAAATGAGTCCCTCAGGCCTTATCCAGCCCGCAGACCTTAGTTTGGGGACCCCTGTTTTAAAAGCATCCCCTTCTAATTACACTGCTCAGTCTGAGCAGCTGTTGGGACAAATCACCACTAGAGGCTGCCTTCTCACTGCTTTACAGAAAGATTTCTGTTTTTCACAACCTTCCCTTCAGTAAATAGCATGCTGGTGTTTTTTTTACTGAGTCATGTGTATCTAGAGTTGGCAACCTCAAACCTTTAGAAGCGCCTCCATAAGCTGTAGGATTTTTTTTAAGCACACAGGTTATTAGGGATTTACATGTACATGTTTTTGGAAAATTGCCACTTTAAAATGATTGTGGGGGAGACATTCTCTCAATTTTACAGTGAATCAGATAACTCACATCTAAGAAAACACCACCAAAGCTGGTTTCTACTGTAGCTTCTTAGCAGGGAACCCAGGGGGTGGGAAGGGCCACATTCCATTCAGGGCAACTTTCTGAGGGCCACTTGTCAGGGTCAAAGGTTAATATCAGGCATGTAAACAGTCCTTTGTGTGGTTGCTTGTATTGAGTGGGAATTGTCTCCAGTTAGGGAAGCAATTTGAACGCTGAAAGCAAGCCAACTTTTGAGGCCATGAATGAACCACAAATGGCAAGACAGGTAAGTGCAGGTATGCAGGCTGGCAGGCAACTTTGGGGGGGGGGCTAGTAACTTTTGAGAACTCATTAGCAATGCTAGTTAATATACTGTGCAACACACTGGCTTCAGAAACTCATGATTGCCACAAATCATGGAGATATAGAAAATTGCAAAAGAAATAGGCATGGGTGAGAATATTCACACACACACACACACACACACACACACACTGCAATGTGAGATGATACTTGAGCTTAAAGTGTGTGTGTGTCAGAAAAATAAGATCAAGAAGAAGAAGAAGAAGAGTTTGGATTTGATATCCCGCCTTTCACTCCCTTTAAGGAGTCTCAAAGCGGCTAACATTCTCCTTTCCCTTCCTCCCCCACAACAAACACTCTGTGAGGTGAGTGGGGCTGAGAGACTTCAATGAAGTGTGACTGGCCCAAGGTCACCCAGCAGCTGCATGTGGAGGAGCGGAGACGCGAACCCGGTTCCCTAGATTAGGAGTCTACCGCTCTTAACCACTACACCACACTGGCTCTCAGATCAGAGATGACAGCTACTTCTATGACCAGGAGATTGCTCAAGGCAGAGAGATGGAATATAGAATCACTTCCCGCATTCAAAGCAAACCCAACGAAGCCTCCAGAATTCCAGCTGCTTTTACATGGTTACAATTTGCACACAGGATCCTCTGGATCCTGCAAAGCTATTATCTCTAATTTTCAGACAATAGCAAAGAGAAATCGATGTCTTTTTTGCCCTAATGCAGTGTTGTTGGCAACTAGAGTGGGCAACAGGCCAATCCAAAGCCAACCACTGGAGCAATTGGCCAAGTACTATGCCACACTCCTGCCTAGCCCCTGCTGGGGAAGTATGCACCTTTCATGATATTCCTGAAACCTTTCTCTTTCTCTTCTGTGGTTGATTACCCATATGTTTTCTGCAGCGCTGTTTGTTTGCTGTCCTATAGCAGCTTTCAGATCAATGGTAAACTGCATGACAGGTATCCATGGGTCAGACTTTGCTTACAGGTCCCCAGTCGCCAATTACTCTCATAACAGTAAACCTGAGACAGGAACTGTAGCATGGTGGTCTCCCAAGCTCTAACCTTGCACACTTCAATCTTGCATATTACTAGCCCATACCTGTACAAAAGCAATGCCAATCCCCACTGCTCCAATGATTTTCAGGTGTTCCTGGATGAAGTTTTCCAGTTTAGTGATGCAGCCACCCTAGAGAGAGAGAGAGAGAAAATTGTTGGCATAATTTCAAGTTTAATTTGTGTCTTCTTGTGCTGTTTCGAGATTCGCATGTGAAAAAAAAGTTTTCACACAGCAAATAAATGCAAGAAAATAAAAAAAATGGGCTGGGGCATCTGAACAAATGCTCATCCTTGCAAGGATTTCTTGACCTAATGCTTCACTTTAACCATGTTACACATCTGGCCTGAATAGAGGGCTCCTACAAAGTCAAATCAGTAGCAGCAGCTTGAATCAGTGGAGCATCAGCAGCCAACTGTAAACCTGTAACATCAACAGGCACCAAAAAAAAGAGACACAGCGTTAGGGAAGCTCAATCACTGTCTGCCTCCATCTTTAAAATATTGTCTTTGGCCTCCTGGTGGCCTGTTTATCTGCCTTGCCAAGTCATTGCAGACAGGAGAAATAACAGGATTAGCTGCAGTGTGAGGCAAGCTTTATTTTTTAAGTTGTTTGATCATTCCACAAATGTATTCCCACTGAGTAGTGGCCTAAGGAAGAAAGCACATGAGTACATGGCTCATGGTTTCAAAGCTCAAGCCAGTAAAGGCAGAACTGAGGAGACTCAAGTTTAAATCCCCCATGAGTTATGAAGCTCATGGGATGGCTTTTAGTCAGTCACCATCCCTCAGCCTTGCCTACCTCATGGGATAGCTCTGGCGAGGATGAAAATGGAAAGGAATATCTACAGAACACACTTATAACTATGGTACTTTGTACCAATTTAACTTCTGTGTCTCCCCCCAAAGAGGTCTAGTTTGGGGAAGATGCTTAAAATCCTTTGTTAAAGGATCTCCTGTCCCTTCCCATACAAATATGGTTCTCAGGATTCCCTAAGGAGAGGGAACGAGTGTTTTGAAATGTGTTTAAACTGGTTATGTAAACTGGTCATTCTTCCTACGTTTCCTTTCAGCAGCCTGTCACAGGCAGGTCACTCTCAAAAGGCAGACTGGAGGCAAATGTTGCAGAATGTAAATACTTCACTATTCTTTCCAAATCTTTGGAAATATTATTTAATACTTTTTTTATATCCACGTAAATGGCACTTCTGTGTGATTTACACAAGAGGACAGTTCCCTGCCCCAATAGGCCTACAATGTAGAAACAAGACAATGTGAGACAAGAGATGAATGAGGAGGAAATGGAGGCCAGGGCAAGCTGGGGAAGGAAATACAAAATGGTGGAATCTCCTTTCAAACGAGTATCTTTTCTCACCAAAAGTATGTCCTATTGCACTTTGGAAAAGAAGCTAGGGGGTGGGCAGCAGGAATCACCTGGGCCCAGCAGTCAGCAATCATGCCCCGAGGCACAGGGCTTAGTCTGTCTCTGCCTGACTAAAACAAGCTTAGTTGCAGAAGTTATTCATGCTCCTCATATCATTTAATCCCCCTCTGAATCCTGTTGAAAAATGATTGCTTCATTGCCATCACTCTTTGGCAGAACACTCTGTAGACTGAAACATCAACTGACAGTTGGAAAATTGGAATTCCGTGGCTAAAAAAACTTCCCAAAGTATTTTTGAGTTTAAGGGGACAAACTTTTTTATAAAAAAATACAGTTTAGGTTGCCAAGTCTGACTGTTTGTCCCTTTTCATTGAAAATGGTAAAAACAACAACCCAAGAACACCACAAGATGGTGGCCAAGTATCTCTGCCTCACCTGCCCACGTGTTGGAACAGAACTGTTGAGGAATATAACTATCTATTTGCGACTAGTTTTGTGACTACTCTAGAAGAAAATCTTCAGGCAATGTTGCAGAACATACTGAGAGGCTGAATCTGCTGTGGTGCCTTGCATGCAACTTGTTGATAAAAGTAGTCTCAGAGCCATCTGGCATCCACTTAACTTTCAGATAAGAGGGAGGCGGCTCAGGTCTGATTTCTTACCTCTTTGTAGATATTCGAAGGATGATCTCTTTGGCCACATTTATCTGTCACTGTCTTGCAGCAACTGTCAGGGAACTTCCGGTTTAATGCATCAGGAGATTTGATCCATTCGCTGTCACTCCAGTCTGAAGCGTTATGGCTGCCACAGCACTTAAACTGAACACACACAAACATAAAAGCAAAGTTTGCAGGGCTTATTGCCAAAAGATGTTGCAACACTCAAGTTGTCTATGGTATCATGTCTGTGAATGCCTGTACCTCTGGCCTGCACAACTGCAGGAGCATACAGCCCACCAGTCATACAACAGAAGAGCTATTGAGCTTTTGCAGTGCTAGAGGGCTGTGCACATTTCTTCCCAAGAGCAACACCAAGCTGGGTTTAACTGGCATTTCTGTAAGAGAGTATAACTATGACTGCTGACTGGTTTCTTTTAAAGAAAACGTTCCTTAAATATAAAGCCATCCTTGAATAAAGATATACATGGTGATGTCACTGCTACTTACTATACATATATGGGATGTGTGTAAGCTGGCCTATAAACATCCTGCTGCTCCTTTGACAGTCAATGAAGAGGCTACTCTGGTTGTTCTCGCTGTATCAAGCTACATTCTCTGTAAGCAGATCAAATATTCGGCATGGTGTAGAAGAGACATAGCTGGAGTGAACTCATTCCTGGCAGGCATGCTGTACGCTCACATGCTTCCTATCCATTACAGTCCAAGCGAGTCTCCTCCCTTCCTTGCATTTTCCCGTCTTATGTCATGTCTGCAAAGAAACACCCTAGGCATGCAGCCAGAAGCTCTGCATGTGTAGGCCTGCCATACGCCCAGATTTTCCTGGACATTACTGGGATATCAAAGGGGGAAATTTCCAAAAGAAGGTGCTTTGTCCTGGATCTTAATCAAGTAAAAAAAAAAACAACAACCCAACAATTTTGGTGGTGTCCTGGTTTTTACTTTTTGAAATATGGCTAACAGATTGAGGATGAATCCTGACAAGACAGAAGTACTGTTCTTGAGGGGAAAGGCAGGTGTGGAGGACTCCCTGGTCCTGGATGGGGCAACTGTGCCCCTGAAGGAGCAGGTGCACAGCCTGGGAGTCATTTTGGACTCACAGCTGTCCAGGGAGGCACAGGTCAATTCTGTGTCCAGGGCAGCTGTTTACCAGCTCCATCTGGTATGCAGGCTGAGACCCTACCTGCCCGTGGACTGTCTCACCAGAGCGGTGCATGCTCTGGTTATCTCCCGCTTGGACTACTGTCTAGAATATCAACATTTTAAAAAGCCACATAAGTATAAAAATATTGCTGTGGTAAAGTGGTTTTACTAACTAAAAAGTAGGAATAGTAGGAACCAATCATTCCCCTGTCACTAGCCAAGGTTTCACCTTCTTTCTGAACTGCGGCAAGTCTCAAATAACATTCTGTAACCTTGGAGCTACGCAGCTGAGTGCACTTCCTCTCCTGTATGAATTACAGCCTAAAACAATGAGATGCCTGTCCAAGTTTTCCAAACTAGATGTGTCAGACAACACAAGTGCTCCCTGATGGAATGACCTAAAATAGGGCTTCTCTGCTTGATGGAAGATAAAATCTCTGCCTTTTCTCTGTGCTCTGTTGTAAACTGGATTCCCCATCATACACTTCCATCACTAGAGATTACTGGCTCCGAGAAAAAGATGTGACAAAGAAGTAGTGGGGGCTTCATCACCTTCCACATTCGGAAAGGCTGCCACATTTGCTCCAAATGAAGATGTGTCTGCGCTCTCACTTTTCTCTTCAAATGACATGTGAAGGTATAGTGGATTGGTGCTTCAGAGACGCAACCACTAAATATGGCCACCTGTTTATTTTAACCAGCTGCACTTGTGCTTCTCTTTTGGGACTTCTTGTGCCAGGAATGAAGCCAAGAGGCAGCAATGTGCTAATAATACATGTGCCCTGTACAGCACCTCTTGACCAAGGAGGTTAACCAAAGTAGAAGGCATGGGAAAGTGATCTGTCGAAAGTAGGAGGCATGGGGGAAATTATCTATATTTGGAAAGCCCAGTCAGGGTATCCAAGGGACTGCTCTGTGTGGTCAAGTACTCTGCAAATATTCTGACAAGCTGTATCTCACAAACTCTAGATCTCTTAAGGCTGGTTCATAGTTATTTATTCATGTCATAAAATTTATATACCGCTTGACTGTAAAAAGCAAACAAACCTCAGAGCCGTTTACAAAGAGAGAGAGAGAGAGAGAGAGAGAGAGAGAGAGAGAGAGAGAGAGATCAAACAGTAATTTGATAATTTCATGTGCTACTCAAGAAAATGGAAGTCTGGAGCTCCCCCTCTCCAGTTGTGAATCAAACAATCCAGATGAGCAGAGGCCTATATGTATATTTTTCTATGCAATTAGACTCTCATTTTGCAACGCAGATAGCATTTGCCACAAAAAAGGGAGATGGAAAGAAGGCCTGTTGCGCATCAATGTGTGTGCAAGACCTCAATTCGCATAATAAAATTGTCCATGTGCACAGGAGGTGTGCATGAGAATGAAGCTCATTCCCACCATGTTTATAGAATCTACAGGCCATAGCACAGCACAGCTGGATTCTTGCAACCCCCATTCCACAGCACATAGGATCTTCTTGCAACAGCAGCATGCAGGTCCAAATTGCAACTGTGTATACCAGCTTCTGCCCAGCTGGTGCTCTCCAGATATTTTGGACTACAACTCCCATCAGCCTCAGCCAGTAGGGCAAGCTGAGGCTGATGGGCATTGCAGGCCAAAATACAGTGGTACCTCAGGTTAAGAACTTAATTTGTTCTGGAGGTCTGTTCTTAATCTGAGGTACCACTTTAGCTAATGAGGCCTCCCGCTTCCGCTGCGCCACCAGAACATGATTTCTGTTCTCATCCTGAAGCAAAGTTCTTAACCCGAGGTACTATTTCTGGGTTAGCGGAGTCTGTAACCTGAAGCGGAAATAGTACCTCGGGTTAAGATCTTTGCTTCAGGATGAGAACAGAAATCGTGCGGCAGCGGCGTGAGGCCCCATTAGCTAAAGTGGTACCTCAGGTTAAGAACAGTTTCAAGCTAAGAACGGACCTCCAGAACAAATTAAGTTCGTAACCCGAGGTACCACTGTATTACTGAGTTTGCAGTTGTTCAAGATAAAATCTATTTTGGAAACAGAAGAAATGAGCACTGAACCTCCAATATATTACAAGTGAATTCTTTATTTACTCCGTTTGCAATTGTTTAAGATAAAACCTATTTGGGAAAGAAACTACTTTTGCCATTTTTATGGATGTTTCTTGTTTGTTTATAGATAGTTGCCTTGGTGTTATTATCTTGTATCAATTGTTGTGCATTTTAGGCAAGTGGAGAAACCATTCCACATATTTGGTGGAATACTTCCTTCCATAGTCAAAAGATATAGAATCTTATCACCCTATTTAAATCCATTTCCTAAGCCTACCTCCTGCTGCAGTTTGTCCACCGCACTAGTCACAGACACTTCTTCCGGCTTCATGTACTTCTGGGTCATTGTCTCCTTCAGATTTTGCTTCAGCTCCGTATTCAGCTGCATAGGGTGGGGGAAAGGTAGTGGGGATGGAAGGAAAATATGAGTAACATCCTTCTTCGACATAGCTCTCTGTATGATAACCAACACATAACTGCACCCAGAATGACTCAATAGATCCCTGGTCCAATTTTACAAGATAAATAAATTTGGGAAACAAAGGCGAGATGGAGAGTTGCAGAGTGTTAGGCAAGTGGGTTGCTCGAGAGCAGGGATAGGAAGCCTGTGGCTCACCAGATGTAGCAGGACTAGAACTCACAACTTCCTGGCCAGTGGCCATGTAGGCCAGGACTAATGGAAGATCACATCCCGGCTCTAGAGAATCCCCAAGCTCTAAATAAACACAGGCAGATGCAACAAGCCTTTCTTCCCTTTTGCCTAGGTAGATCACAATCTGCTGGTGAGATCTGAGTGATCTGCAAGAATTCTGACTCCCAATCCTTTAACAATAGGAATGACACACTCCCTTCTCCCCTCTAAATTAGGCTGCTGAGATGAAGAAAGCTGCAGGAGGGGAACCAGCAGTTGATTTGTGTCCAACTGGACTGTGAGCTTAGTTCTGCTACTGAAAACAATTCCCGAGTGAAAGTATTCCAACCATGTTCTACCAGAATTGCACTGCCACTATTTTGCTCCAGATGGTGGACCTTGGGTGTCTTCTAAAAAGCCAAATACACGTCCCACAATCCTGAAGTATGGCTGCTTCTAGCTTAAGCTTATTTTCTAATATTTTCTGTAAAATAAACAGGCATCCCACTTCACTTGAATTCTAGCTTGTTTTATGGCCCTCCACTGGCTTGGGCCCAAGCACCTGGGCTTGACTGGATTCATGGGACAGGCTATCAGCAACCCCAGTACTTTTGAAAGTAGAGCGCTGCAGTTGTCACCATGAACTACATTTTCTCTCATGCATGCACTTCACCACTGGTGAATGAAATGGAAAGTTCCATCAAACTCTTACTACAATGTACATAGAAACAACAAAGCTGCCTTATACTATGGACTCATCTAGCTAACTACCTGTCAACCCTAATTGGCTACATATCTGTAGGATCTTGAGCAGAGATCTCTCTCAGCCCAACCCATGGAGATCTTTTAACTGCAAATGTCAGTAACTCAGCCCAGAGACCTTTCAGCATCTAAAGAAAATGCTCTACCACAGAAGCACTTGGGGGGGGGGAGCAGATGCCCCAGGAAACAAAGCAAGGGTTTTTGCATCAAAATACAGCAGTGATACATCCTTAAATTCCACTTGTGCAAGGTAAACATATCAAAGGAGTGACTAGAGCATCATTTGTTTGCCAGACTAGTGCTTTGATTTGAACCCAAATGATATGAGGCTTTAGAGATGAATAATTCACACAAATACAAGGGGGAAAGGTTTGCTGGCACCAAAAGCAAAATTAGAGAGAGAGACTCAATTAGCAGATGCCTTCCAGGAAAAACAAAATAAATTACCTGTGGGCTCATAGGAAAGAACTGCAGCGTGGAACAAAGGCAGCAAAAGCAAATACACAGAGTTTTATAAGCATATTGGGGGAAAGGGAAGCAAGGAGGGGAAAATAAGAGGAAGAATCACAAAAGACAAAGTGCATTCAACCCTAGATATAAGGGAAAAGGAGGCTTGCAAGGAGGGCACGGCAGACAGAAGAAACAGAGGCTTGCAAAACAAGTAGGATCCACACAAACACTGGTGTCCCTCCCAAAACTACAAATCCCAGCATGCCATGCTCACTTGCTTGCATTATCAAAGCCAATCCCATGCATTCCTGAAATAGCATTTTAAATTAGCTCATCCTTCCTGGGAAGCTGATTGGATAACCATCCTAAGAGCTAATGATTCCTCAGACAGCTTTTGAAAAAGAAAGCTTCCTCTCTTTGAAAAAATGTTTGGCCTGTTCTATGCTGGATGATTTCTGTCCATATGAAGTTGTGATTAGGAATTGTTCAAGGCAGTCTATTAAACAATTTCCATGCAGACCTGGATATAGGAGTTAGCTTCATTTTACCTTACCCATTAAATAAATAAGATGCAACAAAATCCCTGCAAAGGTGTCTTCTCAGAGGCTATGGGGTGGGGGGAACAGACTATAAAAACCCCATCTAGAACAGCCACCCCACCCCACCTGGTGCCCTCCAGATGTTTTGGACTACAACTTCCATCCTTGATAACCTCTGGCCACGCTGGCTGGGGATGACTGGAGCCGTAGTTCAGCAAGATCTGGAGAGCACCAGGTTGGGAACAGCTGATCTATGCAAAGCTGGTGGCAGCTTATGAAAGCATGTGGCCCAGGAGATCAAGCTTTGTTGAAATGCACACATCCGTTTTATAAAAGGATATGTGTGAAGACCTGAGTTACGGTGTTCTGTCACACACCTATCTTCCCATTGCCTTTGGGCCACCAGATCTGTATACTTGTAGCTGAATGCTGACATCAGAATCGTTTAAACAAAATATGGATGATCCTGAGGAAGTTGGTGCATGTAGACCTCTTATTTTCCCCATTGAGCTTTTCTGGGTTTAGGCACACTTATTTATGCAATAGGAAGGTTCTACAGTAACAACAGCTTTTTGCTAGTAAGGGGGGAATCTTCAGCACAAGCAATCAGACTGTTAGTCCATTTCATACTAATGTGACAACGGAAAAGAGAGAAAGAGGCAATGCAAAGGGAAATTTGTATTCCAAGCACAGGTGCAGCAGCTAGCCAGATGCTTTGTTAGAGGGTATTTTCACACATCAAGACACTTTTTCTGGATCAACTCAATGCTGATCTATTTCATGCAGTATTAAATTGGCAAATTCATACACAATTCATAGGCAAATACCATTTCGGGTGGCAGTGGTAGTTTTTTTAAATAAATAAAAAATCAAACTGATATAAATCACTGGGTGATATCGTACAGAGACATACTCAAAGTAGACCCACGAAATTGTTTTTTTGGGGGGTTTTACACATAGAATTATTTTTGTTGACGTTTCTCACTGTGAAATGGCTTCAACATATTTTATGGGAAGTGATTCATAAATGAAATCAAATGAATAAATACATTGCTGCACCACAAAACAGGCTCTGCTTGGGCCAATGTTGTATACGAATGCATGCAAATAATATTTGAAATGAAAGTAAGTTTTTTTTATATACCAGAGGAAGGTACCGGGAGAGAAAAAAGGTAGGACGAGATGGGCTCATAACACACCTTTAAATTGAACTCTCAGCAGTCACACAATATGGGCCTGCTATTCTAGGACACTTAAATATCTCTTGTAGACCCACCCTCACCCCATCAGTTCAGGGTATCGGTTTATTGGCCACAGTGGCCTTGGTCTGGGGCATCACTCATCTCTGCAACAGACATGTTCATAGGGATTTGAAGAGCCTCTGCCCGCAGCAGGCTTCTTTCACCTGTGATGTTGCCACCGCTGTCACTATAGGGCTGGCTGGGATTGGGCATGGGAGTATGAAGGGAAACCACAGCAGAATGACAGGTGGGGCTGTGCAGAGCGAAAGGAGAACCAGTGTGACATAGCGATGAGTTCAAATCCCCGCTCAGCCATGAAGCTCACTGGGTTGTTGTGAGGATAAAATGGGGAGAACCTTGTACACCCCCTTGAAGGAGAAGGTAGTATATAAGTGTAAAAAACAAACAAACAAACATGTGCATGCTTTTTATGACAAACACCAGGACACTTGTGAGAAGTGAAAGGCAATGGTGTGAGAACCCTGGAAAATACAGTCTGTCAAACTGAGGGGCTCTTTGCTAGTTATTAGTGGCTGCTTACCTGCTGGTAGTAGATATAGGCCAGGATTCCAGCAATTACCTCAAGCAGGAAGATGCACAGCAGCAATATAAAATACTGCAAAAAAAAAAAAAAGCAAAATGACATGTGTTAGAATAGACCAGAGCATAATGTCACCACCGGTGAAAGGCAGCCCTATGCAAATCTTTGAGGAAATGCTCAAAGCTAACAAATCGATTCCACTCCCCCCCTAAGAAACATAGACTGGCAAAACAAGCAGAGGTGGGTGCCAACGCTTGAAAACCCAGAGAATGGGCAGCACGGAATGGGGAAAGTAACTTGCTGGGATCCAGTGGCACAGCTAGAGATGAAATGTTGGGTTCAGTAGATTCAGCAACAAAAACCAGTGAAGCTGCCTTACGCTGACTCAAGTCCACCCAGCCTATCATGGTCTACTCAGATATGCAATGGATCTCCACGGGTGCCTTTCGTACTCCTGCTACCTGTAACGCTTTTAACTGGAAATACCAGGGATTGAGCCTCGAATATTCCTGCATGCAAAGCACGAGTGACTGATCCTTGGTTCATCCCTGGACGGTTTTCACAGCTGTGGTTCCTACTTCTCTCCTGCCAACGCCACTTGTCTTGAAATGCAAGCCCTCCAAAGCGACATCATTAGGAGCTTGTTAGGGGGCAGTGGAATGCTTCCTTGGTAAGGGCAGGGAGGGTTTCAGAATAGCTGGGCTTCTTGCAGGGAGGGCTCTCCCAAGTGGGCAAGAGTCAGCAACATGCCTGCAGCAGCACAGGGGCAGCTTCCGGAACTTTGGACTGAACCGTCAAAGAATAAAACCAGGCACAGGGTGCAACACAGAAGAGTTTCCCTCCCCAAATTGCTCAGAGACCCCTAAAGCGGACCATTCCGTTGACAACCAACCCAGAACTTGAGCAAGGCTTCGATCGTTCAGAACTCATGACACATTACATCACTAAGCTTATGACAGTCTGAGCTGTACATGTACCGTCAGCAACAGAATTAGAATGAATACAATGGGAGAAATCTGAAATGTATTTGCTTGGAAACTCTTTGTATACAAGTATCAGCCACCGCCATTATGGTACTTAAAGGTAAAGGTACCACTGCCCGTACGGGCCAGTCTTGACAGACTCTAGGGTTGTGCTCCCCTCAAGAGGCCGGGAGCCAGCGCTGTCCGCAGACACTTCCGGGTCACGTGGCAAGCATGACAAGCTGCATCTGGCAAGCCAGCGCAGCACACGGAATGCCGTTTACCTTCCCGCTGGTAAGCGGTCCCTATTTATCTACTTGCACCCGAAGGTGCTTTCGAACTGCTAGGTTGGCAGGCGCTGGGACCGAACGACGGGAGCGCACCCCGCTGCGGGGATTTGAACCACCGACCTTTCGATCGGCAAGTCCTAGGCGCTGAGGCTTTAACCCACAGCGCCACCCGCGTCCCTGTATTATGGTACTTAGCCACACACAATTACTGATAATGTGTTTTTTGGTATTGCAGTTTTAGTGACACGGGTGCTACATACACCACAACCTCTTCTATTGGCTATAATAGACTACTTTTTACAAGCCCATTTCAGCAGCCAGCAGGATCCCTGCAAGTCCCAGGGGAGACTTCTGCAGCACCATGCAGGCAAACCCTGACTTAGGACACCCAAAGGCCATCCTGCAAATCCCTTGCCATTGGAGTTAAGGCAGGTAGTGGCTAGGCAAGGATCTTCTCAGTTGTGGTCCCCTATCTCACAGAGTGTTTCCAACCGTTGGAAAACTTATGAAGTTCTATGCTGCTCTTGAAAAGTTTTTTTTAAAGACCAGCGTGTGTGTTTTTTATGCTCCTTAATAACTGCCTTTCTTATTTACTTCCTTTGCTAGCTGCCCTGGAAATACACACTAGTGAAGGTCATAGCATAAATGTTATTTAACTGAACAGTAAAAGTTAGAAGGGTTTCTCTGCCAGGCAGTCTTCAGTCTGTGAGCACACTGCATCAGCCATTCACTCACCCCACAAAGTGTTGCTGAAGCCTCAGACCAACTGCATGCTTGGACAAGGTATCCCTTTCATACCATGAGAATGAGTAACCTAAAAGCGCTCTGGCTAACCAAAATGGGAGACTGAAATTGAACAGAAACACACCTTAACCCAAGAAACTGCTTTCTTTCTTTCTTTCTTTTTGGAGACAAGTCAGGTAGAGCTACTGACATCATCCCTTTGTCCAGCTTGTACATTAAGGAAAGAGGAAACAATCAACTAAGGAGCTGGAAAGTTGTAATTTCCAGTGCTTGTGTTCTCACATTGTCCCCTTTGAAAGTACACTCCTCCTCCCACAACCAGACCATTGAGGAGATATATCTATATTTCTCCAATGGCAGAATGATCAGGGCTGATAGAAAAGTCCAGATTTAAAACAGCACAGCTGTAAGACCTCTAATATACGGTATATAGAAGCACATTTCTTCTTTAAGAGGTGAGGTTGGAGCAGGAGGACAGAATCCATCAGAGTTCCTATTAGTCCTGCCTTTGGGGCAGGGAGGGGATGATACTCCACAACTGGGAAGGAAGATCAGTTAAATATCCTATGTGAATCATCTACTGGAGTACCTCCAAAATAAAGTTTTATGGAAGTCATATGATCTGAGTTGGAGGGGTGGGGGAGGAGAGAGAGAGACCCCACACTTTCTAATTCAGTGGGCCATCTACATACAATCATCATTATAAAGGAATATCTTCTAGCTTTCAATCATTATGGCTATAAAATAACACAACCAACACATCACTTCTCAAACTTTCATTCATCATGATGATCCACGAAGACTATCCTTACATATGACATTCTGTACTGAGCATCAAGATTACGACATTGAAAGAAACTGGGGTTACCTGGTGCAAAGTGGCCCTCTAGACTTGTGAAAATATGCTTGGGGTATGGCAGCCTTTGCCAATCTGGTACCTTCCCTCCAGCTGCATTGGACTACAGCTCCCATGGTGGTGGCTGGGGCTGATGGGAGTTGTAGTCCAACGCAGCTGGAGGGAAGGCGCCAAGCTGACGAAGGCTAGGATATGGGCTTAAGCTCAGGATTGGCAGAAGCCTTTGAGCCAACTCTGCCTGGCTGGCCACAAAGTGTTTGTTGTGCATGCTGCTTAACTAAACCGGAGGCCAAGAGACAGGCGACAATAGATCTGTCACAACCAGCCACTCAGGGGAGGGGAGAATGGCAACAAAAGGCTCTTTTGTTCCCAAGAGACAATCATTAGTTTTCTGTGGCAAAACAACAAAAAAGGACTGTACCAAATTTTTCATCTGTAATTGCTGGCTTGGAAAGACAGAAACAAAAAGGGAGAAGTCTTCCGCACACTGGGCCATTGTGTGCCTGCCAAGAGGGATTGGTATGGTCTACAGGCCATGTCAGCTCCAGTATCATCACAAGCCATGAGAAATACCACTTCAGAAATATCATAGCACTTTCTTTGTCCTTACTGTACAGTGTCCCTGCGAAAGAGGCCTCCGCCTCACACCTTCCTTTTTCATGGCTGCACTGGCAGAGAACGCGTCCATTTCCCAGCCCCACCAACACATTTAGTTGGAGCAAGCCTACTTTTCACATTATACTCTAACACACTTTCTGCAACACAGGTATTCCTATTGATGTCAGAAAGAGGAGCATATGCAGGCTCTCATAGGAACACAGGAAGATGCCTTACACAAGTCTAGCCATGCCTCTGAACACTAGTTGCTGGAAACTGCATGTGGGCAGAATGCTTAGATCCCGCTTGTGGGCTTCCCAGAAGCATCTGGCTGGGATGCTGGGCTCCATGGACCACTGGCCTGATCCAACAGGGGTTATGTTCACTGGTCCATCTAGTTCAGTATTGCAGACACTGATTGGCAGTAGCTTTCCAAGGGCTGAATTAGTGGTGGGTCTCCCCACCCAAACATTTCTCTCTTTCTGTCTTAACCCCTATTTCCCTGCTACAATTTACCATGGCTCTCCGTGTCGATCCCTGCCTACACTGAGTTCTTCCCACTTGCTCAAAGAACACTCACCACTCTCAGGAGGCTCCGCTGCTCCCTGAATGTAGCACAGCAGCCCAAGATGCCGGTGATCATGACCACAACGCCTGCCACCACCAGGATGTAGGCTGTTGCCATGTATGTATTGGACTGCAGGAGGCTTATGTAATCGCTCTTTTCAGCCAGGGTCCAGATGCCCACTGCCATCACGGCTCCACCTGCCAGCTTAAGAGAGAAAGGAAGATAATGAGTTAAATGCAGCTGGGGTAGAGAAAACATGAGGCACCATTATCTAGCAGGACTACCTATTGCTTCATCAGTGCTGGTTCACCAAGGCCTGATTCAGGGTCCCTTGGCAGAGGGGCTTCTGCTGATCTCAATGAGGATGTAAGTTCAAGTGAAGCACCTTTTCACTCTTATCCTTGCCTATCACACTGTTTTGAAGATTTCTAATGGTCACTTTTGACGGAAGCTATGAGAAGAGTAGAATAAAGAAAGGCCTATCTATGTGTGGAGGGCCTCCAGCCCTCCTGGAACTTACCACTTCAGAAGGTAATCTGGGGATAACCCAGTGGAATGCTCCCCTATGGCTATGCCATCAACACCCCATCTTCAGAAAGCTATCAGGGAGAAGTTCTAACCTTGCACTCACCTCAATGTGGCTGTGCTTTTTGTGAAATAAAGGAGCAGCTAGAAGCTAAGCTCCAACTATCTGCTAATTTCGGAGCAGACTGGCTGTTCTCTTTAAATCATGCAGAAGAGCATTAAAAGTCTATCCCAATCGCCCCATTGCTCCAGGATACTCCCAAATTCACAGCACAAATCAGCAAAATTGCTAAAGCTGGCTCCTTACCCAGAAAAAGAAGTTGAAGATGAAGAGGAGATATTTGAGACAGATGGTCCCACATGTTTCCTTGTTTTCAGAGTAGTCACGCATTGTCGCAATTTAGCAGGGCTGTGGAAAAGATTCAAGAAAAGGGAAGACTTCCGTTAGAAAACCCTTTCCCCCTTTGACACTCAATGTGCAACTGTCAACTGGCTTTCTTCTGTATTCAACCACCACTCTTAACAGGCATTGCCAAGATGTAACTTAAGAAACACATAAGGGGAAAAACATGGCTGGTAATACTGCAAGCCCACCCTGTCAGTTCCAGGACAGGTCAATGGAAGCTGCTTTGTACCCAGTCAGACCACTGGTCCATCTGTTGTCTACACTGACCAGAAGTGGGTCTCCAGGGACTGACCCTGGAGGAACCTTCTGCATGCAAAACAGATGCTTTACCACTCAGCTACAGCCCTTTCCCTACTATTACCGCTGGTGTTAAGATCACTATGTGCCAGGGCACATCTCTACCAATCTATGGCTCCCTGCTGATACTAGCAGGTATGTGGTCATATGGCCAAGTCTTCTTCAAGGAAGACTGGGTTCAGGCAATCCAAGATTTCATAAGCCAGAAATGGGGAAACCTGTTGTCTTCCTGATGTTGTTGGACTACAACTCCCCTCAACCCTGACAACTGGCCAAGCTAGCCGGGGTTGATGGGAGTCCAGAGACATCCAGAGAGCCACAGGCCCCCCATCCCTGTTATAGGTTTTCACTAGCACCTTGGATTGTGCTGGAAAACCACAAAAACCCAGAGCAGAGGCATATGAGAAATCATCTTGCTCAGGTTCCCCTAATGACGCAGAGCTAGAAACAGCAGCCCACTCCTGGATTTCATGTGCAGTTAAGTGTTTGGTGCAGAGAAGTTTTCCCTTTTTTCCTCCCTCACATGATTTGGAAGCTATGTGACCTCCTCAGGAATTGGTACATGACACTGGGGGCAGGAGGAGATTCCCAGAACGGGAATATTTCCATGTCTGAGCCATCTCAGTCTGTCCCTTTTACCCAATTATGCAAGGAAAGTTTTATTCTTTTTCTCTTAGGATATGTGACAGCATAGCTGGCAGCAAGCAGGGTTCACAAGCAAAGGGGAGAGGCTGAGAGATGACAGCATACATCCAAGATAGTAAAAGGGAGAGAACAACAAGGCTTCTTCCTTGGCTTCCTGACAGCCCAGTCTTCATGAGAAATTACCGCACAGCTCTGCCAAAGCATAAAAAGGAGCTTCAGAGGCATCCATTTGTCCTCAAAGACCCCACTCTCATCCACTGCTCCCCCACCACCACCACCACTCGGGATATACTGCTTGTATAAGATGAGAGATTTACTGTCCCCAGGACAAAAAACAAAATCCTTTTGTTTATCTATAGATAGAACAGATTATATCAACAATTGAAACAGACATACGTGCTACAAAAATAAACTGGCTTTGCTGTCATGATTCCCTCCCCCCCCCAAAAAAAAAAAACACCCAGGATCCTAGCAACTACAGTTTTCCCTGTCTGGCACTTTGACTGGCTTTCATGTTCTGCTGCTTGCTCACCCTGTTCATCCTCACCCTGTAGGGATGATTCATCCTGAAATGGACACCCTCCCATTTCCGTGGGCTTTCCCCCAAGGGTCTGTTTAAGAGATGCTCTACAACGTTTTTGATACAGATAGGTAGCTGTGTTGGTCTGCCATAGTCAAAACAAAAAAAATTCCTTCCAGTAGCACCTTAAAGACCAACTAAGTTAGTTCTTGGTATGAGCTTTCGTGTGCATGCATGCTTTTCGTGTGCATGTGTATCTGAAGAAGTGTGCATGCACACGAAAGCTCATACCAAGAACTAACTTAGTTGGTCTTTAAGGTGCTACTGGAAGGATTTTTTTTTGTTTTAACCTTTTTGATGTTAAGCACCAGGCATCTGGTTCCATTCTGGTTCAAGCAGAGGATCCCCTCTCAGTGGTACAGGCCCAGCTTATCCCAAAACATTCCCCAATGCCCTAAACACCTTAATCTTTCTCCCTGTGTAACCATCTCATCTAAACCATCTCATCTACACATAGAGACAGCTCAGTTTCACTTAACTAACTCACCCTGCACATGGAACAGGGTGGCATTTCAGAGAAAGCTACCACCTCAGAAGTTGAAGTCTTCAATGTTACCTTCCAGTTCTGCACAACTACAGTTCTCCTTCTCATTGGTGCAGACCTGCTCACACAAACACTGACTTCCTCCTCTGCACAATCTAACAGGCTATCTTAACAATGGGTGGCGCCTATAACCTTCATCTCAGAAGGCAAGTTGCCATCCGGTCTACAAACCTCTCACAAACCCAGCTCTTCATGGATACAATTATGATTGAATTGCCCCCTACTCCCTGGAGGTACATACACAGTGCAAGGATGACTTCCATTACCTTCATACAGTATGGATAAATGCACGTCCCAGTCCCAGAAGGATGCAAAATTTCCGCTCATAATCCTAGAAACCCAGGGTCATTCAGTGAAGCTGAATGGTGATGGATTTAGGACAGATCAACACACATTGATGGTCACCAACTTGGATGGCCTTCGAAGGAGATTAGATAAATTCACTGAGGATAAGACTATCAATGGCTGCAAGTAGAGATGCCTGTATATTACATCCAGTACCAGAGGCAGTAAATCTCTGAAAACCAGCTTCTGGGAACACAAGAGGGAGATTGCTATGGTGGTGAGTGTCCTGTTTCTACACTTCCAATTGGCATCTAGTTGGCTACTGTTGAGAAACAGAACGTTAGGCTAGATAGGCCTGTGGCTCTTCTTGTGGTTAGCAGGAGAAATGGCTGCGAGTTCAGCCCTGACAGAAGTTTTCTCTTAAGCAAAAAGTTCCAAGCACTGCAACCTTTCCGCACAGGGCAATTGTTTCATCTCCTTGGATCATTTTGGTTGAACGAGAGTCTGTACCTCTCCTCGCCCCTGCAGAATGCTGAGAAGGATTGCAGCTTGGTGGGCTGATTCCAGATCAGTGCAGCAGAGGCCACATCTATGATGAGATGTACCATCATAGTGCATGAATCAGTTCTTTCAACCCTTGTATGGACATGTCACAGCTGGAAGAAGTTGGAAGCATCATGTTAACTATGGAACAAGACACCCAAAAGTAAATGCCTACCAGCTGCTTCAAAGTATTATATTTCCATTTTAAAGCTGCACTCAACTGCACATTAACCATGTTCTCATATTTTCTCTCCCAGTGAGGGACAGCATTTAGCTATGCATGACTCTGATCCAACATGCTTAAAATATATGGGCAGCTTGACTAGACTTCTGTGTGTACATAATAAACAGAATTTGAAGTTTTTGGGTTCTGATTAATGCTCATTGAACTGGTCTATTGGCCAATGTGCATTATCACATGTTCTTCCATGAAGCTCTTAAAGCTACATGGGATATTGTTAGTCCCGTCCCCATCTTGCATAGCACTGCTAGTAAAGCAAACAAGATTGTGAAGAGGTGCTAAAAGAGGCCTCTCCCATCGATTTTAGTGCTGTAGTCGGAGAACAGCAGGAGGTTTATGAAGCATGCTGATTTATGGAGGACGGATGGCCAGTGAGTCATAGAACAATCATTGCTGTCTCCACTGGTCCTGGCCAGGAATAGCATCCCATTGAACAACGAGACTGTTCTTGCATTTAAACCAGCAACCCAAGGAAAGTACTACTGGAAATTAAACAAGCTATACAGACCATCCCACTTCACTGCTAGCATATTCTTTTCATTTCCATCAAGAAGAACGAATCAGTCTTTTCTACAGTGCTCTGGAAATGCAAAGTCAACACAACTCACAGGAACAGACTATTTAGCTCCAGAGCTGCATATATGCTGCTCTAAAATTCCCACCTCAGAATTTTGTGTTCCAGTATGCTGCATTCCATTCCAAGGAAATCTAGGTTCTGCAACCTATGTGAATTAGGCAGATCCAGCAAATGATCATATTGCTTATTCTGCTTTTGCAAAACAAACAAACAAAAAAAACCCCTCACCCCACTAATTGGAAAGCTTGCTCAGTCCCACCCCTCGAACTTCTTAGATTCAACATGACTGCCTATACATTTTCACAACGGTGGGGGCTAGAAATTTATCTTTAAAACAAGGGGAGTTGGAAAGGTGGGGTTTTGAGGGTGTGCTCTTATTTGCACTCAATAGAAATGTACTAGCCTACATTTGCAGAGCACACAAAATCCTTCACTGCACTCATAGTGTTGATCCAATCAAGGGCAAAGTTCAGGAAACCACTGCAAGTCCCCGCTTATCAGAAGAAAGGAGGCAAAGATCCCTTTAGCTTTAGGCACATTGCCTCAGTCTGAGCACAGGAGATTGCAAGTTTAAAACCACCCAAGGCATTATTTCCCCTTTCAATCAAGCCTAGCCCCGCCCCATCCCTGCCACGCCTTAATTCACATAGCATTGCATCACTGTGCACACAAATCTGACTTCAAACACGAAATGTAAAGCTGAAGAAAAAAATGGGATGAGCACTGGCACATTGGTTATGTGACAAGTCACCAGCTAGGCATAAAGGGGTGCTACCACAAAGTCAACTTTGCAACAAGACTGTCTTGGCACAACAGCTTGGTTACATCAACTGAAACACGGCAATGAACCTATTAACTAAAAACTCAATTTGCACTTCACTTGTAGTTATACGAAATGGATGCCTAATATAATAATATTCTCCTCCAGCAGCCATAGGAAAGGAATGCTGCTATATCTTAAGGAGGGCTGTAAAAAAGAGGGACGTGGTTACAACTGGCAACTTTCAAATCTAGGCCTAGTGAGCTGTTTTACTTACAGAGAAAGGAAATGAGAATTGAACTACTATTAGGAGAAACTGCATCTCTCCCTCTTCAAAGGGTAAGGTGGTTCATCCTCAAATCAAACTTATGCTCAGTCTGAAAAACAGAAGTGCTCACACTTAAGATAGTGGTTGACCCATGAGTCGAAAGCAGAATTTTCTGTGTGAGCCTCAGCACAGCATTTCAATCCATTTTCATTTCTTTTTGCTTTTAACTTGTTATTAACTTGATATGATTTTATTGTTTGGTTTTATATTTTTATATTGTTGCAAACATTTTTCTGATACAGCAGTATATAAATATTTTAATAAATCATTCTCTGCCTGCAACTTCAGGCTTGCAGGAAAAAGGAATCACAGAGTTGAAAGAGATCACAAAGGCCAGCAAACCCAACCGCATGCCAAGACATAGATGCCCACACATCAACCTACTGCTACAAAACCTCACTAGTGTGCCCAGACAAGCAGAGGCCAATGAAACTCCACAAAACTTAGGCAGTGTTTAGATTTGGGGTACTCTTTGGGTTCCACCCCTCTTTCTACACAGCCTGTGTTTCATTCTAAGACATTCTGTTCTCATTCACCATAATGAGTTATTAGCTGCACAAGACCATGCAAAGCGTAACATGCAGAATTCTCTGGAGCTGTTTATACACATCTCAAGATGTTCTTTATTAGCAAGACTACAAAGATCCTGCAGGCAATGTCATCTTGTTACTTACAAATGCATACACAGAGAAGGAAATTATCGCAGTTCCTCATGCTCACCATCAGCTTTCCTGCTAATGAAAGCAGGCATGTAAGTCTTTTGGGGTCCTCATTCATCAGCTAAGCAGGGAAAAGGAATCAGAAAGGGAGTGAGATGCCCTTCTAAGTTCCTCCCAAAGCTCCCCTCTTCCCCTAGCATAGAAAAAGATCGCGTTTGGCAAGTTAAAGTAGGATTTACAAACTCTTCAAAGGTCAGGTTCATGTGCTTTTCCATATATCAGCCAGAAAACACAGGCAGTAAAACTTAGCTTGGTTATAGTGGTGAAAGTATAAATTATTGGGATAGGAATAGAAGAATGGCTTGGAGCAAACAGCTCATATCACGTTCCATGCTGAGCTTCTCAGGTAAACTGAAGGGGAACAACAGGTTTGATTACCTTCCACTCAAGGTGAGGGGGGGAGAGAGAATTGACCTAGCTAAGCCTGGCAGGACAGCTCACTCTATGGTATTAACCCCTTCATGTGCTAATTAGACTGGAGCATGTTGGTTCTAAGAGGCTGGTTATCCCACAAGATTTACCACTGGATTCCAATCTACCTTTTGTCCACCCATTTATACAGCAAATATGCATACACATATATTTTTAAGCATCTTTGTAACTCACAATGAACATTAGGCATGGGCAAGTGAGATAAAGTGATTCTTCCAAGCCACATACACAAAGCCTGTTACAAGGGTAGGGCCCAGCCCTCTCTCAACTGCTCTAACTCTCCAGTCACATACATTACACCCACTTTGGGGGCTCCTCCCCAAGTAATGTCAAGCATGCATATGCTCTGCAAAGCCATTTGCTCACACAATCATATAGTTACAGACTATATACATCTATTGAGTCACACACATGTTGCCAGATACACTTGTCTCAACCTGTACAGGAACAAAGAAAGAAAGTAGGTCCTGAAGCTATTTCTGCTTTAACCTATCCTGAGTTTAGATCTAAACACTAAACAGGACCTTAGGAAACAAAGGCCAAGCAATCCTTACATTTCAATGGAAACATAAGTCAACAAAAATAGCACAAACCGAGCATTACCAACCCAAAAAGTGAAAGCTCTTTTTCGGGGGGGGGGCAGAGGCTGCCTGCACATTCAGTCTGTGTTATATTTGTTTTTGGCAAGGGTGTCAATGTTTTGTCTGGTTTTCTTTTTGAGGGAAAGCATCACAATTTTTTCCTCTGTGAAATGGGTATTTTGTGATGCCAACAGCAATTTCTTCAATTTCAAATGTGTTTCTGTGCCCAAAAAGGTTTCACGTTGTGTGTGAACCTGACCAAAGGCTTAAAACTATGGTTGAAGGAGAAATAAGGTTGCCATATTTCAAAAAAATTAGACACAAAAGTTGTTGAGCTATTTTGGAATGCATTAGGCATATCTTGCAATAAATATTTCTACTTAGGGTTGCCATACATCCAGATTTTCCAGGACATTTTGCCAATTTCCACCCGGACACTGCTTCCAACTGCAGTATTCCAGGTATGTCCAGGAAATTCCAGGCATATGGCAACCCTAAGTAGAAATATTTATTGCAAGATATGCCTAATGCATTCCAGTATATAGCTTTATTGGAGGGTGTTTTTAAAAAGGATAGCAGGACAAGTAAGTCAACAGAATGTTAAAGAAAATATTTATTCATCTATTCATCATATTCTTAACTTACCTTACCTTATAGGCAGCTCAAGCATAATTTAAACCTTTAAAACAACAATTTCAAAAACATCAAACTCCAACAAAAATGGTTAAAACAACAACAAACTAACCAATTTAATCATTCTCTGTACAGCACCCATGATCTCAAAAAAACATAGTAACAAGCCACAATAATAAATAACAATTCTAAAAAATGTGTTTACCCCTGGTCTCTGGACTTCTTTGGAATAGTAACATTTAAAAATCCTTAATAAAAATGTTAGGTAACTGTTAGTCAAGTCTTGAAACATGCATAAGGTCATATATTTATGATGAGCACTCTGCAAATTCAGTATGACTAAGAAAGTGTCTACATCAGATAACAACAGACAAAAATAACTGTTTGCAAAGACAATAGACATGTGGTTCTAAAACCCTTAAGTATCTCCACAGAGTTAAAAACGAAGCTGATAGCAGCTCTACTCATGGACTAATATGCAGGGATGTTTGAAAATAAGCCTGCACACTTACCAACAAACAAAAGCCACAAACCACTCTTCCTTGCTCTCAAATACAAGACTAACTCATGCAAACATTATTAGGGCTTGCCTTTTAACCCATGACGGCTTTGTAAACTATTTGAATGAGCCAACAGGGAGGTGGAGGAAAAGGTCATGGAAATCTGCCCTCAATCAGAAGACCATGATTTCCCTCCCACCCAAAAAAAGTAAGATTTGCCCACATTTCTCCCTCACTTAGACTTTACTGTCCCTGTTCTACAGAGATTTCTTGAGAGATCCACAGAAAGCTAACAGTTGCCAAAGACTCCTGGTTATTATAATCTTTATCCCACAATTAATGTGTTCATCTTTAAGATGCCGTTGGAGTTTTTGGTTGGTTTTTTAAAACTCTGCCAAACTGCACCTGATGACATTAGGAAGTTTGCCTGAACAAGATCTGCATGACTTGCTCTATGAAGAGCAAATATGTTCTCTGCAGGTTTAAGACCAAATATTTGGGGAAAGACTGCTGCCATTGACAAGCACAAACCTGAACCCATCTAAATTAATTCCTCTATTATCAAGACACTTGTGGGAAAGAAAGGAACCTCAGACTCAAGCCACCTGATTCTTATACGGCTTCCAATGCCTAAAATGCATGGTTCCTAGAGAGCTTAACTGGATATTAAAAAGTTTGGAAAGCAAACACACACACAAGCCCGACCAATCTTATACCAGCTTGGGAGAAATACACACTGAGCGAGAAGGAACTTTTCACATTTGTTATCCCTATGTTGCAATAGGAGGCATTCATGTGTACACACTATACCTTTAAAATGCATTTCCCCCTCAAATAATTCTGGGCTGTAAAGTTTACACCTCATGGAGTTACTATTCCCAGCAACCCATTAACAAACTACAGTGCCCAGAATTCTTTGAGGCAGAAAATGTGCTTCAAATGTGCTTTAAAGGTGTAGTGTGTCTGTAGTTGGGAGTAAAATTACAGGGCTTTGGTTGAAAGAAATTGCCAGGGAATCATTTCCCAGGTATTCTATAAACCAGCACTAAAGGCAGTCATCACAGCGCTGCCATTGCCATGATGCAACATAACTGATGGCCATCACAGCATTGCCAGGAATAGGATCCAATTTGTCAGGGCTAGTCCTCGGCATTGACCAGCTTAGTGTAAAGCCAAAAGGTGTCAAGAGTAGCATTTGAAAAGAAGGCAGGGTTATAATTAATTTTCAGTATATTTTCTGGGTCTGAGTGGCCCAAAGGAATAGGAGTGTTAACAACAATACCCCAAAATTGGTATTGCCAAAGCTGTGTGGTGTTTTATATCACAAAATATCAAAAAGCCTCCATAAATCTTAGTTGATACTGACGTGTTCCAGTTGGGGTTCATAGTTAACCTCTCCCCACCCCACCCCAAAAAACAGATATTGTGCTATCACGTCAAAACTTACAATGATGTTTTGTGCCACAGAACCCCAGGTTTAGTGTCACTACCCACAAAAATGCCAACTAAGAGATGACAGCACAAAACCTGACACTTGTGGCACAAAACTACACAACACTTTTGTCTTCTGAAGCAATACTAGATGGGGTGGGGGGTTGGAGCTAACAATCCTTAAAGAAATGACTGTTAAGGAAGCAAGGGTGCTGGTGGAAACAATGGCACAAGGAATATCAATTTCTGGAAACCACTGGGAGTGTGCTCATGCGCTTAGGCTCTGCTTTGAGCTTCCCAGAGGCAACTGAGTGGCTACTGTTAGAACAGGATACTGGAGCAGTTGTGCAGGCTCAAAATTCTCTTCCTTCACCCTACAGACTGGCTCTGATGGAAGGTTTGCTGCATTAAGTATAATGAGCATGGTAGAAGTTAACAAGCTAAATGTGTTAAATGTGTAGCCCAGTGAGTTCAGGCGGCAAAGTGTGTGGGGCATGTGGGCATATTTGTAATGTGATTTCTTTTCTGGGTCACTGAGATGGTCTAGGGCTAGGCTGAGGCCTAGTTCTGAGAATTTGGATCCTGTTCCTTGGGAGTGCTGTGGTTGCCACCAATTGTCTTCTAGAAATATAGGAAGCGGCCTTATACCAAGACAGACCATTGGCTCATCTGGCTCAGCACTGGCAACTGGCAGCAGCTCTCCAGGATTTAATGGAGGGCTCCTTCTGTATGCTCTACCACTGAGCTATGGCTCTGGTCTCTGTGTTATCACCGGAGGCCTCAACTGCGCACCTCAGCTGCACAGATGTGGCCCTGGGTCTTCCAGTTGCTGATCTCTATTTTAAACCCACAGCTAAGGGAAAATGCATTTGGTCAGTAGAAAGGATTTTATTTCACAATCTGCAGAGTTTAAGGAGAATTATCTCTGGCCTCAACCAAGCATATTTTAGGGATCTGTTTAGCTAATAACAAAGCGTGTGTGTGGAGGGGGAGGGGAGGGGGGGAGAGAGAGGGAGAGAGGGGGAGAGAGAGAGAGAAGATCCTCTGTGTATTCAATAATATCATCTTACAGAGAGTGCTATAGAATCCTCAAGAGAGACAGTTGGCTTCGTTGTGTTTATATTGGGAAGTCAGCCTCCAAGACAGCTCTCTGAGGGGGTGATTGATGGAAACACCACTGCATAGAACATCATCATCTTAAATAAAGCTCCTTTCATTCTAAAAGTACTTTGCACCATTGATTTACAGGAGCCACTTCAACAGTTATTGAGATGAGAAGAACAATAAAAAAGGACTAGCGTCTTTCAGTGAAGTGTCAAGAGTGAGGCTCAGGAACACAACCCTTTTCGATCTGGCCTAACTTTGCTAAACCCAGCCTCACTCCAGGCACTTTCACAAGGAAAGCTAATTTCTTGCAACTGAAGCCCTAATGCAGGACTGCTGTGTGCTGCTGCTGGGTAGGGAGGAAAGACAATATCAGACCACCGATTTAAGGAAGAGAGTTAAAAACAAGCTGAAATAACCTGCTGTGCATTCTGATGCAAAATGACTGTGAAAGTCAGGATATAAATTTGCATGAATTGGTAATTTCTCCCCTTCCCTCAAGTCTAATTGCCTTGGGATGGAGTGGGGAGATTTTCTGTAGTGAGGGAAAGAGAGGTGAGAGGAAGAGGAGGAGGGGGAGAAAGAAGAGGGTGGCCTCTTGCTCTGGTCCCTGCCCACTTTGAGCTTCAGCCCCACCCACCCTGACTCCAGCCCCGCCCCCTTGCTCCCAGGGAATGAAGGCTTCAACATTTCCCTAGAAGCAAAGTAAATTCTGTGACAAAATAAAGGGCACTAATGATTATGCACTTAACAGACAGGAGGGACTTGTGAACAACTTCTGTTCTCCTTGTGTGATGCCTCTTCTAAAATAGTCAGCTTGAGAGCAGAAGTTGTCCACAAATCCCTCCTGTCTGTTTTAAGTGCATAATCATTAGTGCCCTTTATTTTGTCACAGAATTGGCTGCTTAAGAGGAAAACTGAGGAAGTGAGTCACACAACTTAGGCCTGAGCAAGAAGATTAGTCTATAAATACTTCTTGAAGATACTGACAAATGGAAGGAAACAGATGATAAAGGGAGGAGATTCACTGATAAACGGACACCTAAGAAAAATGCACATTGATGAAGAGAAATCTTGGGCATAAGAAAATTGATGGTGGATGAGTAAAGAGGCAAGAGTTCTAGAAATAAGATAGTGACTCATAACCAAAACAGGGAGACATGTAATTATTGCTTAATACACAGGATTCTGATTGTGTGATTAGGAATGTATTGACAGGGATGGAGATTTCCTTGCTAGAGTTTATGAGGACATAGCTTTCATATTCCCATCTCTTTAGAGTTGAGGTGGCTGGTGACCATGAACAGGGCCTTCTTACTTTTCACATCCCACCTTTGGAATTCACTTCCCAAAGAAACAGAGTTAGCACGTCTCCACTCTCATTTATATGGCAAGCATATTCAAAATATTTCTCTTGGGCATTTTCCTAAAGATTGCTGCCTCTAAATTGCTCCCTTTCTCTGATGTAGTCTTGGTGTGTTTGGTTCTACTGATTTTTTACAATGCATTTTTTTAAAAATACGTCAACTTTTTAAACATGATTTGATAGTTTTACATGAGCCACCTTAATAATTTAATAATAATAATAATAATTATTATTTATACCCCACCCATCTGGCTTTGTTTCCCAAGCCACTCTGGGTGGCTTCCAACAGAAGATTAAAAATACATTACAACATCAGTCATTAAAAACTTCCCTAAACAGGGCTGCCTTCAGATGTCTTCTAAACGTCAGGTAGTTGTTTATTTCCTTGACATCTGATGGGAGGGTGTTCTACAGGGTGGGCGCCACTACCGAGAAGGCCCTCTGCCTGGTACCCTGTAACTTCGCTTCTCGCAGTGAGGGAACCGCCAGAAGGCCCTCGGCGCTGGACCTTAGTGTCTGGGTTGAACAATGGGGGTGGAGACACTCCTTGACATCAAATGATGGAAAGGCAACATAGGTGCCAACTATAGGAGGCCCAGGAGGCCTGGGGGCTCTGATGCAACTTCCAGTACAAACCGGAAGTCGCGTTGGGAGGTCTTGCGAGGACTCGGGCATGATCTCCGAGGCCCCACAAGGCCTGGGCCCCAAGTTGGTGCCCCTGAAAGTCAAGATATAAATATATTAAATAAATGTAGCAGAACCTGCTGGAAATGAGCTGCCTGGGTCCACCAATCCATGCTGGCAGAGATGGAAGCCCTTGCTTTTTAACAAGAGGAACACTTAGCACACACCAAGAGCAGGAATACACATTATCAACAGCCGTGAAACCAATGATTTACCATAATCTGAATGGACCAGAAATGGATGCAAATGTAATTCCAGGATGTGCCACTAACTTGCAGCAGAGCCAGGGACCACTTTTTCAGCCACATTTCTGTTCCTTCCTTACAGCAAGCCGTGGACAGATTTACACAAGTTTCCCTGCCTTCCATTTTGAAATCCAAGCACATTTGTCACTATTAATAAATAGGAAGCCTCATTCCTATCCTTTCCAGAGGAAGGGAAGGGGACTGCTCAGAGACAGAGTGGGGGGTGCAGTATATTGCATTGTCCAACACCAGGGCTGTGATTCCATGCACACTTACTTTGGAGTAAACACTACTAAAATGAGTGGGACTTACTTCTGAATAAAGATGCAGCAGTGCCAGTGAGAAGATGGTTCTCAGTCAAGCTCCCCTCCCCGCTCTGTTGCTACAACAGCCCCAACCACCAACTAAACCAGATCCTGAAATTAATCCTCCAGGGAACCAAAATTAACAGTGCTTGTTGCTAAAAACACAAGTGCTTCCCTCTCCCTATACTCTCCACCTTCCCAGCGCCACATAGTTTTGAGAGGACCCAGCAAAATTGTTGCTCAGCTGCTTTGAAGAGCTCTCTGTATACATCAGAGGGAAATCAATGGGCAGCCCCATCAACGAAAAGACAAGGGTGGTTTAAAAAGGCAGTTTGTCGGCAAGCCAGACGCCAATGCTGGAGGGAAGGCACAGCAGCACCTGAACTCTGCAGCAAAACTGTGGAAAGCACATTTCTCTGAATGTGGAACTGACACAGTCAGCCCAGTTCCAGTTCCCATAGCAAATCCTCTACACACCAGAGGTTTTCAACCTTTCTGAGTCCACGGCTCCCTTGACCAACTACTTTCTTTCTGCGGCACCCCTGTGAGGCTCAGAAGCCCAGTTATGTCACCCCTTGTCTGCAGAGCTGGCAGCATTTCACCCTTTTTTGAACACCCTCCCTCATGGAATATTCTCTCAGCCTCCTCTCCTGTCTCCTTGGGTGTCCTTGGGCAGCCACTGCTCCCCCGGGCTCCAAAGAGATGTGCCTCCTCATGCTGCCCCACAGGGACCTGGGCAGAGGATGCCCCCAGCCTCAGTGGCCCAACAGAGACTGGCCAAAGGTGAACATGAGGCAGCAGTGGGGCTGCCACAACGAACAGCTGTGCAAGCCTTTAGAAGGCAGAAACTCAAGAGGGCATCAAAAGAAGGAGGGAAAGAAAGAAGGATAGAGGCCAGTGTTGACTGTGGCACCCCTGACCATCATTCAAGGCACCCCAGGGTACCACGGCACACTGGTTGAAAAACACTGCTCTACACTACAGCATGGCTGGCTTACCCGTCGCCCTCAGGATGTTGCTGAACTATAAAGCCCATCACCTCTGACCACTGGGCCATGCTGGTCAGGTTTGATAGGAATGTCAGTCCAGCACAAAGGTAGAGGAAGCACTCCCATAAAGGGATCAGTACACAGTTTACCGCACTGTTAAAATGCTTATACACAGTGCCTATCAAAGTAAATGTAGCTAAATGGCTCTTTTCTTTTCTTTCTTGTTTTAAGCAGCAGGATTCTAAATAATTTCACATAAAAGAAGCACTTGCGTTGCTCCCTTTGTATTCAGCTGACGTCTATCTATTGAACACAAAAGCAGTGCAGTGACTGAACAGACACTATACATTGGATGCACAGAGGTTTCATAGCATGAACTACTGCAGGCAGCTAGAGCTTGTCCATATCATCACTTTTTGTCCACAAAAGAAGCATACAGCTGTTTCTTTTTTACTTGTGCAGGATCCTGCCCTCATTTTCCCAGTAATTTGAAGCAAAATACCTTATATGTTTAAAAATGCCACACTTTGTGGACAGACCATGTCTATCATCATACTGAATGCAATTGCACAAGTCATACGTGCCTACTGGACATGGTCTTTTGCAACACAAATGGGGGATAAGTGACACAACTATCCCTCTCTCAAGCCTCTGCCACCTTAAAAATGCCTTCGAGACTGAGAAAGAACATGGCCATCTTTCTCTTCCTCCACTTCCCAGCTACCCCCATGTCTCTGAAATGGGACAGGTGAACTGTATTTGAACCGAAACACAGGGGAATTTATTTCACAAAGACGAAAATAAGACTGCTCTGAGATCTACTGGGTCTCATAAGAGGAATAAGGATCTTTGCTCTCCACTGAGAATGAATGTACAATCAAATACAACTAGTTGTATTTGGCAGTAACCAGCTGTATCAAATGTTAGACATACTCAAAGCAGGCACACTGAAATTAATGGGTTTAAGTTAAGAACCCACTGAAATTAAAGGCAATAATGGAGTGTGACAAATATTGGATACAACCTACCGGTAATTCTTTTTTTACTTCCAATAATATACTTTCAATAAATGTCTTAAGTTGTACCAAAGCAGACTCATTTAAATTATAAAATCATAAAATGTTTCAATATACAACCAAACATGATGAACACTATCTTCCATTTTCTTCCAGAAATCACCAGAGGGCATAATGCGTAAGATTGATATCCGACACCCAGCACCTCTAACCATCAATATGGTCAGTTCCATAAATTGTGCTTGGGTTCTGCAAGGTGATGTATAATCATATACACTTATGTTGACTCTCCCTCAGAATCAAAGAAACAGGCTGAAAAAGGTAAATTGACTGCTTATTATGCATAACAATCCCTTTCCTATATGTCTTTATAGTGTCAAAAGGTAATGATATAGTTATTGGTCACAGGCGGAATAATTTACCCTGGTTTCTGTTACTAAGTTGAAAAATAATCAATTCCTTTCCCATTTTTTGAAGAAAAAAAAAAAAACACTGAGGCAACACAATGCTGCTGCATCCCAGGGTAAAGTTTCCTGCTTGGCATGTAGGTTTAAATGCAGGGACTCTTAACAGCCACCACTGCAAGTGGGGAAGTATGCGGGGAATGATTTCTAACTTCCCTACCCAGTTTATTCCTGAATGAACAGAACTTGTAAAAATATAGATTTTCCTTGCAATGTATTTGAACCTGACAGTGCTTTGCTCCACCCAAGTCCTGTTTACTCCCACACCACACTGAGCTAAGCCAAGGTAACACAGGGGTGGGGAACTTTTCTCAGTCCAAGGCCTGCATTCCATTCTGGACAATCTTCCAAGTAATAATAATAACAACAATACTAGTGGCAGGCAGTGAGACCGGAGGCAAAAGCAGGCAGAGCACTTAGTGTAAATTTTATCTTTGCACAGTAGGCCAATTTCTACACACACACACACAACCCCCTCTGTCCTCCATCCAGCAAGAAAAATACATTACAGTGGTACCTCGGTTCTTGAACTTAATCCATTCCAGGAGTCCGTTCAACTCCTGAAACCGTGTGCCAACCAAGGCGCAGCTTCCGATTGGCTGCAGGAGCTTCCTGCACTCAAGCAGAAGCCGCGTCAGATGTTCGGCTTCCGAAAAACACTCGCAAACCAGAACACTTACTTCTGGGTTTGCGGTGTTCGGGAGCCGATTTGTTTGGGAGCCAAGCCGTTCGAGTAACAAGGTACCACTCTATCAGAGTTCAAGGTCATATTTTAAAAGATGTTTTTCTAAGCCTGGCAGGTGGGAGGGAAGGTAAGGGGTGGGTGTTGCTGCAAAAGAAGCAGAAACAAGTAGCCAAGAGACGCTTTGCCACATGTTGACTGAGGGGATGGGCTTGGGGTCTAGCAGTAGGCCATAGGCTTAAGGTTCATACTACCACTGGGAACTGTGGGCCTTTTTTCCAGCATGCAATGTTGAACTGTCTCTGCTACACTGGCTTCTCTTTAGCCATCTGTGTGGCTAGTAGCAAAGTCCAGCCTGCCCCGCAGGAGTGGCTCCCCTCAAACTGGAATTAATACTGGCTTTGTTTTCATTGCAGGAGGCCCATATGCTATTTTAGGGCAACTTCCAGCACTCTCTGTGGGAGCTGTACTCAGCAGTCCTAGGGCAGCATGTTTCCTTTAGGAACAAAAGGAAATAATGTTCCTGGGTCAGAGGACGTGGTTTTTGAGAGGATGGGCGGAGGGGGGAAGCACATTTCATGGAACAGGGCTGGTTTAAGCTGCGAAGTGTTGTGGGACAGATTGCATGGGATAGCAAATTCCAGAGGGAATCCAACTTCCCTTACACACACACACAAGTGTGTCATTTTAAAGAAAAATCAGTTTGGGTTCGACATTTTCACGTCTAAATGGATAAGTAAAAAATGAACCTTGCACTGCTGCAGAGACAAGTGTGAGGGCCTGCTCCTGTGATTCCCCATTGCTAACACTATGAGCACCCCAAGGATGCAACTTGGCAAATGGCATGCTAGAAATGCTGGCACGAGGTGTGTGTTTACTCCATCAAGAATCCCGTTCTGTTACACAACCTTCAGAGCAGGGGGTGGAAAATCAGCTATGTTTCTTTTAAACACATGTTTTCTTTGCCAAAAGCAATTACATATTCAAAGTGAAGGCAGCTAGAATTTTAACATGGCAGGCAGTCTTTTTCTTGTGAAAACCTATTGAATTTATTCCAAGTTTGTTTGCTTTTAAAACCCACTGACATAGTCCATGCCTACTTACATTGATTTCCCACGACCCCATTAATTTTTAACTAAATTTAATGTGAGCAAATGAAAGGCTGACAACATCACGGCAGGTTTTGAATTTTGATGACTGGTGGCGTATCCTGAAATCCAAGCGAAGTTCAGGACCCCACTGTGGTAAATACTTGCTTTCTAGTCTTGAGCTTCTTGCTGCCTGCTACCCCTGCCTTCAATCAGACCCTCCCACCTAAGCCAGTCTAAAGTAAATGCTTAAAGAAGCCTGGTCACAATGTGTGTCAAGCCTGTAAATCGCCATTCAACTATAGTGACTCAGAGTCACCTGCAGCCAACCAGACATTTTTAATATATAAATGGGAAGGGAGTATGCCCTTTATTTTCTTTCAGCTGATCAATTGCCACTAACAAAGGCATAAAGGGGAGGGTACAAGCCAATACTAAAAGTATGTGCAAGCTAATTTGCACATTTGAAATATATGCCTGTTCGTATTTGGAATCTCCACACACTTTCTTCCATTGCCACAAGAGGCCGAATCCACAGAGGTAAGGAACTGAGAATGATATAAAATGGGAAGACTACAGAAGTGAACCTAAAAAGATGAGGACCAGAGAATGAGAAATGAACTCCTTTAGTTGGCCCACCCACTAACACTTGGGACAAAGCCTCCAGGTCAGCAAGGTGCAGACATTCCCAGTCTAGGAAAATGTGCTCTCTATGTATCCACATTTCAACCTGGGGAATGGTCCAAGTTAGATCTAGACCAGTTGCAATCCTATGCATATTTACACAAGAGCAGGTCCTCTCAAATAAGTTGGGGCGTACTTTGTAGAAAAAGATTGTAGCTGAATGACTAATCAGTTAGGCTTGCTTCAACCCAGTAAATGTAATAGGTTCAGGCCACAGCTAACTCTGCATGGCACCAAGGCTACACATAGGCTAGCTCTCCTAAACTCACAGAGGAAGCCTGTGCCACCCAAAGCAAGATGATGTGTCTAACCTTTAAAAATAAATAAAACAGTGTTATTCTTTCACAACCTCTTTCACAAAGAGATGTATGTTTTGGTCCGGAAATTAACATGCTCTCCAGACATCTCTCACCTTAGAACCCTTGCCCCAATGCAAGACCCAGAATCTGATTCATTACAGTATTTCACTCTAAACTCAGGTAAACTTGACTTTCTTATGGCCTGCATTGTTTAAAAAAATGGACTTTGCTCCTTTAAGGCTCGGTTCCAGCCCTTGACAGTCAATGCCAGGAAATTCCACTGCAGCCTGCAGCTTTTTGCCTTTGTTTGTTCTAAGATCCTAGATACAGTTGCCCAGAACTGCCTACAGGTCCAACTGCCCTTTGCAGTCCTCTCTTCTTTTTTCATTTTCCCCTCACTGTTGCCTGAGCCACACCATTTGCCCCTTTCCCTGCTAGGCCACAACCCTCTCCTTTCCTCCATCATGGCCTGCACACACATACAAACACGCAGATAAACACATACCCTCCTCAGTCAACTGAGGATCGAAACAAATGATACAACTGCAAGAAGCATATGCCCTGCCCCACCCCAGACCGTGCAAGATTGTACAATCCATTAGATAATTAAGAGGGGCAACTTCTTGGATGCCCTAGCCAGCCTGGCACTGTGGTGTAATGCAGCACTGCAAGAAAAAGCTCCTTTTACTATGTCTTCCCATTATTGAGGAGGGAGGGTGTGTCCGCAAGAATGAAAGTAAACAGCATTAGTTGCTTCTGGAGCCCAAAGGGGGCTCTCAAAGGCCTGTATCAGGGGAGGTCACTCTCCAGATACTGTTGGATTACAATGTCCATCATTCTGAGGCATCAGTTGGGGCTGATGGAAGTTGGGAGCCCAACATCTGAAGGGCTGCAGGTTCCTCAACTTTGTTCTATACCATTCACATTTACAGTTCTTTAGAAAATGTAGTGAAATATAGTTCCCAGAAATATCATGGGAGGAAGTGAACAAGTGCTTTATCATTGCCCGCTTCCGCTGCTACATGTGTAGGGGCAACCTGCATCACGCCTCAGAAAAGATGCATACCAACTATTTCTGCATTTGTCTCACTGCAGAGAAAGATATGCAAGTACCTTCTTCCCATGTTATGGTGGTAATATGGCTCACTCATGCTTCCTCATCATGTGCAGAACTGCCTTCAGAAGTCAAGAGTAGTCAGACAGGTGCAGAGCTAAAACAGAGGCAGATCACATGGAGCCCCTGCAAAGTTTTCTTGCATGTTCAATACTGAACTTACATTGCTGGTGATGGGTTCTGAAACAAAACTTTCGCCCCTGAGAAACAATTAAAGAGAAAGGGCCTTATGCAATCCCTACTGTAATCCAGTAACACTGAATAGTAAAATGTATTTGATTTTTTTAAATCTGACATTTCATGTACATTTTAATTTTATTTTATTTTTAAAGTTAGACAGCAAATGAAATGATGCATTAAACAGATTTAAAAGTAGCATAGAGAGCCATCTCTCTGGAATACATATTCATTTCTTTTCTGCCCTGCTATGTACTCGACTCCAACTGGTTTTTGCCAAATGTGCATATATATGGTGGGCAATGATGGGTGAAGTCTCTGAAATCTCTCACCTGTACTCAATGTTATTCCACCCAAGCAAAATCATTTCCAGCTGACTGTTTGCCCCAACCTTGTTGACCTAAGTAAGGCTTGGATTCCCAATGGCTGAGCCCTTAATCCAGGCACTGGATGAACCAAAAACCCCACAGCACAGGAAATGAACTCTTTGAAGGTGTGCCTACGCAGTTAAGCCTAAAGTCCAGATAGCAAAAACTTCCCTCAGAAGCCATATACTTTTAGACCATTTCCCACATTTTCTTCACTATTATCACAGCTATCCAGAAGGAGGAAGGGTCCAGATTAGGCAGATTAAAACAGATTGTGTTGCAGAATCCTGCTGTACAGAAGTTCATTCTTTTCATATGTTTTCCCTTAACTATTGTGATGGCCAGGATGTAGGCAGAAAGTTTTTTGATTTTAAACAGAAAGAAAACATTTAAGTGTATATAAGCCAACTGTATCCTTTAGGTTTCATGCTAAAGAAACATCAAGATACTAGTCTGAATTTTTAGTCAGAACTGTTTGGGTTCCTTAGTTAGCATTTCCAGCTTGCCCTTTTAATCTTGTGGCTCGTTCTGTTTTTGTTACACTGCATTTATAAATGGTTGTCACACTTTCTGCACTCCACACCCTTGGATTCGCATGATGAAGGGGTGGTTAAGAAAAATGTTATGAAATAAACGGAAAAAATGCGGTCTTGAGAGAGGAATTTGAGCCACCCATGCGTTTCAAAGCAAGAGGAACTCTACCCTCTGCTCTCTCCCCCTCACACACCAAGTTCGAGCTCACTCCCTCGGAGATCAAAACAACATTCACCTTCGTGGGCCTCGTACCTTCTTCTCCCCGCGCCGCCCTTTGCAAGCCTGACCCCAACCGAGGGGCCCCTTTCGGCGCTCCTGCACCGCCCACCCTCCTCCGCGAAGCAAAAGGCATCTTGGCTTCCCAAGACCTGCGCAATGAGGAAGAGAAGTCTCCCATCCCTTGCACTCTCACCGAAGCCGCTTTCACTAACTTTGCGGGCCTCGCGCGCCCACATTTGCTCCCCTCCTCCTCGCTCAACTCCAGGAAGATTCAAACCTGCCCAAACAACCTTGCAAAAGCAAGCCCGCTTTCCTTGCTCCCGGCTTCAAGGCCACAGCGCGAGGGTTGCCTTTGTTGCCGCTCCAGGTGGATGGATTTCCGCCGCCTGCCTCCCCTCCCCTCTTTCTGGCCACTTGCTTGCTTTCCTTCCCTTACACGCAAGCAACCTCGTGCGCGCACGATCCAACAAACCCCCGGGCCCCAGAGCCGGCGCAGACCTTTTTCCTCGCGATGACGGTGGTCTTCTCTCTTCTCGGCGAGAATCCGTTTCCAGACAGCGCGGCGAGCGAGAATGCAAAGCAAGCCGCTACTACTCCGCAGACCCCTCCCAGTTCTCGGCCCCTGCGGCTAATGGAATATTTTTAACTGTTTGAATAAACTCTGATCTTTCTCTGCGACGAGTCTGGGACGCCTAGCGGGAGAAGGCGATCATTGCCCTTCAGTTAGGCGGGGCAGAGAAAGTTTGAATCCTAGTCCTCAATCAGGACTAGGATTGTAGAAGCGACGATTCTGAATGGAGGCGGATTATTCCTATACTGGAGTCTCTAAGGGCATGGCTATGTCGATTATTTTTAAAATTGCTTTCTAAACCCACCTCTTTAGGGTGCATATACCCTACCAAGGTGAGTTACAGCAACTCACATGAAACACAACATTTAAATTCTAACATTTAAAATAGCAGTAAAAACATTAAAGCAGACAAAAAAAAAGTGGCAAAACCATAAAATCACACAAATGCTCACTGGAATTCGTGTGGAACAGAAGGGATGGTACCATTATTTTAAATTACTAGAGGCTGCAATCCCATGCAGCTTTAAGGCACGTCCAACTCTTATTGATTTTGAAGAGGTTGCACCAAGGTTGGGAAATTCTTTGATCTGCAAAATTGCGCCAGACAATCGCCATTGATTACGAGTACAGTAAAATATGCAAGTCTTAAACCATATATTGTTTGAGGACTACAATTAACCTTCTTCCTTGTGATGCTTCTGTTGCTGCAGGTATGTATTTTCTCAGCACATAAACCACACTATTTCGTCCATGGTAAAATGCAACTTCTGTTTCCCTTTCTATCAGGATCCTGCCCACTGTGATCAATATTGCTTACACATGTGTGTATGGTCCGGTTTGTACATTCAACAGAGTCAATTGGCAAACCTTTTCCTGAATTGAGACACTTGTGAGTTTCTTCTATAAAGTTTCAATCACAAAGTGGCTAACACCTTCCAAAGTTTTATACAGTACTCTTCAACCAACTACAACAAAGATTCCTGAGGCACTTTAAAACTAGCACATTTCACATAAGCTTTCTCAAAGTAGAAGAGTTTTCTCCATCAGATGTTGGAGTCAAATGGCAATGGAATGCAAAAAGTACACTCTGTAACAAAAGCTTGAGATAAGCAAATCAGGCTTCACAGCAGCAGGAGCCGAAAACCATTGTCTCGATTCAGACCCAAATTAATAGAACAGAATTTATTGATATGTTGTAATTCAGCAATTTCACATTGGATCCTCCTTCCAAAGTTTAATTTCTTTGTGGGAGGCCATCTTAAGGATAGTAGCAGAGTGTCCTGACAGGTTGAAATATTTGCCTGCTGGTTTCTAAATATTGCCATTTCTGATGTCATATTTTTGTTTAGGAGACTTCGAGTGCACCTATAGTACCTTTAATGTATTTTATGTTCAATCCCCCCCTAGAGTCTTAGGCAGAATTGTGCGTAAAATGTACTTAAAATACATTTTACATATTTTTGGTACCATTTTCCCATAGACTCTAAGAAGCGAATCTATCTTAAAATATGTAAAATACACGTTCAAGAAATTCCCACTGAGAGTGACAGCACATCGTCAAGACTCCCTGTGAGATTTGTTGTGCTGATTTCAACAGGCGCTGCAGTAGGCACCCCAAAGCAGTAGTGAGTCGCTATTTTCTTAATGTTCACATTTCTTTTTTTTTAAAAAAATCACAGTTGTAATTGGAAACACCTAGAAGGCACCAGGTTGTTGTTGTTTAGTCGTTTAGTCGTGTCCGACTCTTCGTGACCCCATGGACCAGAGCACGCCAGGCACCTCTGTCCTCCACTGCCTCCTGCACCAGGTTAGGAAAGAATAAGCAACTAACTGTGGAAGCGCCATAATTTTGGGTGCATTAATACACATGCACATTCCAGCACTTGCTTCATTTTAGTCCTTAATCCTCTGGCTTCCAGCAACAGATGATCTACTGGTATAAGTGTGTTGTAATAAATCACTAATGACTATTGAGCCTATGTATTTGTCTCACTGACTCCCCTACTTCAACACAGTGTCTCCTATAACAATACTGTCGGGCACTAGGCATGACGGGATGTGATAGTCATAGAAAAAACATTTCCCCTGCTAAAAGCATCTCTTTTTAGAATTGGAAGTGAGTCATCATTTTCCTATTTAATATTGTCCAGAGGGAATGTATTTTCAGTGCATTATTGTAAATAAAGCCTGAGCGCCAAACTGGATATGACTTAAATGCCTCTGCTTGGAATGGAAAAGTTCAGTTGATCAAAATTCACTGAACTAATTCAAAAGTCTCTGAACTAAACCTGAAAGTACTTCCCGTAATTGCTAAGTGATCTAAATATGAATTACCATAGATGCATTCTGGGGTGGAACTTAGAACATTTTTTAGTTCATTTTCCAGTTTATTCTCTCCTCCCCCTGACAGGAGGCCCAGCCTCTTAGCTTTCTTTCTTTATTTTTTAAAGGAAGTCAGTCTGATATCTGTCAGTATCTAACTGGCAACATCTAAATCTATCTATAGTGCTTAGTTTTAGTTTAATTTAAATGCCATTTCCCCACCATGTACTGTTCCCAATTTGTAATGTTGCATACACACCTTAAAATCAACACTTGATTTTGCAGTTATCGGTTATGAAAATGTTTTATGTGACCCAGGATTAACGACCTTTTGTGTGCTATCAGTCCTATCATTAGGCAAATTGAAGCGATTGCCTCAGGAAGCAGATTTTGGGTGTCACAAAAAGGGCAGAAAAAAAATATTTTATTTTTTGTTATTGTGTTGTTACTCCCAGGGAAAGGCATTTGAGGGATTTTCTTCCTCTGGTGCAAAAATATGCTGGTAAGTCTTGGGTGCTTGACTCAGGGTGAGCATGGTGCTTACTGTTCTGCCTCAGGCAGCAAAATGTCTTACACCAGCCCTGGTTGTTAAATGCGCCATCTCTACTGACAGTGAAAGAGGAGAGATCTAATCTATGTGAGGTAATTCTTATGCTAATTGGGTGTAACACTTCCTTTTTTGGAAACGATGAAAGAGTCAGGAGGGGTGGGGGACACATTACCTGTACTGTACTGAGAGTCACAAATTCCATTTCCCTTAGTGCCAGGCTTCCAAACACCTGGCAGAATTATTTGAGGGGGGTGGGGACATGCCTCACCCTTGTACAGTACAGCTGCTTGACTCAGAAAGCTTTTGGTCTACCTCAGAGCTCCTTAGGAAATGAAAGAACAACGCTGGACCAACTTCACAGGAATCTGAGTCATTTCTGAGGGAAAACTGAAACTCTTTTTTTACATGGCAAATCAAAGGAGCAGCTTCTGCTTTCACCTCCACTCCTCCCCCCACCTCCAACCTCCGCAATGCATGCAACACATTTACAAACAGGGCAGACTTGAGGAAATATCTGTCAGCCAATACTGTATAAGCAGATGCTCTTAAAACCAAGACTGAAATGTTAATAGCTAATGCTCTAAGTAACTTTCCCAAATATAAATCTCAGCTACAAGTGATAGGGTGTTTTTTTCAAAGAGAGCTTTCCCAGCACTTACCGTATTTTTCGCTCTATAACACGCACCTGACCATAACACGCACATCGTTTTTAGAGGAGGAAAACAAGGGAAAAAATATTCTGAATGAAACAGTGGACGTATCATTTTTGTGCTTCATGCTGTGGCCACAGACATGTGATCTGATGGTGAATTTGGGGTGACCCAATGCAAAAATCCTGAGAATCCCTGTGGATCCATGCTTTGTAACCACGTTTTTGCACCATTGCAGCCCCAGGCAACAGTGGGTGCGTGATTTTTTTGGGGGGGCAGGCTGTAGCCATGGACATGCTATGTGCTCTGATGGTGAATTTTGGCTGACCCAATGCAAAGATCCTGAGGATCCATGTGGACCCATACTTTTTAACCACGTTTTTGCACCATTGCAGCCCCAGGCAACAGTGGGTGCGTGATTTTTTTTGGGGGGGACAGGCTGTAGCCATGGACATGCTATGTGCTCTGATGGTGAATTTTGGCTGACCCAATGCAAAGATCCTGAGGATCCATGTGGATCCATGCTTTGTAACCACGTTTTTGCACCATTGCAGCCCCAGGCAACAATGGGTGTGTGATTTTGGGGGGGCAGGCTGTAGCCATGGACATGCTGTGTGCTCTGATGGTGAATTTGGGGTGACCCAATGCAAAGATCCTGAGGATCCATGTGGATCCATGCTTTGTAACCACATTTTAAGTGGGGAGGGAAGGAAAAACACAGAAGGCTAAGAATGCAGGAGAGGGCTATAACGTGAGGAAAGGAAGGCAAAAGTTTCCCCCCACCCACCCACACAAGCCAGCCAGCGTGCGCTCTCTCTCTCTCTCTCTCTCTCTCTCTCTCTCTCCCTCTCCCTCTCCCTCTCCCTCCCACCAGCATGACAGAAGAAAGCATTTTAACTGCATTAAGAACTATTTAGCAGCGAAACCTAAGCTTTGCCATCCCTTAAGAGGTACAGACACTGTAATCTTCCAGATCGCATGAATTTACAGGCAAAACACTGTTTAAGGATTTCATCCTTTTAAATGGAAGAAAGCATATTTTAATGCTGTGTGTCTCCAAAAACAAAAAGCAGGAAGTCAAATCAGAATTTTAAGCCGAACCTGTAATCTCTCTTCCCTTCACAAACATTGTTCCCTCCGGAGCAGGGAGAGGAATTAGAAAGACGCTCTGCTCTCCTCTCTTCTTGCCTGGAGGGGAGGGGCTTTCCCTGCTCTTTGTTCCGTTTGAGCAAACACAGCAACGAAACAGAGCAGGGTGGGCAGTAAGACCCTGAGGCAGAATGCAGGAAAGCAACAGCTTCCTCTCTCACGGAGCTCCCTTCTCCCTGAAGCGCGGTTTGATTTTTGCCTCATTTTTCGGCTCCAGGGACCACACATTCGCTGCATAACACGCACAGACATTTCCCCTTCCTTTTTAGGAGAAAAAATCTGCGTGTTATAGAGCGAAAAATACGGTATACTCTAGGTGCATGAAATACTTCACTCTGCACTGGTTCCTGCCAGTTCATGACTGACATGGACCAGCCTGTGCTGTGAAGATTATATTGCTGGGATCCTCTTCTGCATTGTATTATTTATATGGTTGATTATTACAGGGATAGGAAACCTAACAAATGGGGTCCAAATGCTTCTTTATTGGACACCTGCTTCTTCAGGACATGCCCCCCCCAGCTTTGCACCCCAAGTGTTCTTGCTGCCGTCCCGGACTCTGCTTTCATCATCTGAGGCCCTTCTTCATATACCTTCGCCGTATGAGGGTGGCAACATGAGAACAGGCCTTTTCTGTATTGGCTCCCCGTTTGTGGAATGCTCTCCCCAAGGTGGTTTGCCTAGCGCCTTCATTATATAATTTTAAGCGCCAGACAAAAATATTCCTCTTCAACCAGGCCTTTGGCTGATTAATATGCTACAGCCTTTTAAATGTGTCTGTGGGAAGGGGGGTATTGTTTTCCTGTTTTGTTTCATTTACTTGTTTTTATCCTGCATTTTATTCTGTGAACCACCCTGGGATTTTATGAAGAACAGTATATAAATTTAATAAATAATACAGTAAATAAATAAGAATGTGTCTTTAGCCTCTCATTTCTCTGGAAGGAAGACAGAGAGGATTGTGTGTAGAAACAAATTTACTGCACAAAATTAATACCTGACATTTGCTGCTCCTCCTACTTTTGCCTCTGGCCCCACCCATCTCTGGCATGCAGCACTTGAAAGGTTGTCCAAAATGGCTGAAAAAGTCTCCCTATCCCACTTCTGGTTCTTTGCACGTATATCTTCTTTTCTCCAAGGACCTCCAAGCATGCGTGGTTCTCTCTCCTTTCTCCCTTTTATTTCCACAAAAGCCTGTGAGGGAGGGTTAGGCAAGTGACTCATCCGAGGGAGGAAAGGCCTAACTTTCCCCAATAAGGGGTGGCATGCATTCTGGTTGCTCCCATGCCCCCTCCATGCTGCTCCAGGGGGTTAGAGAACCACCTGAAGAGATTTGGGGGCTCACAGAGGGAGAACGTCCCATTGAACAGGCAGAAGGAGCCCTTGTACTAATGGGACGACGTGGCTGGGTACAACTCACATGCTCTCCTTCACATGGATGGTGAGGGTGCCATCACTGTCATTAGCCTGGGTGGGTACAATCAAGGGTGCCAACTTGAATAAAATATGGGGGAGGGGCACAGGTAAGCCCCGCTCCGCGTAATCACATGACGCGAGGCACACACACCATTTGAATGGCAATGCCCATCAACTGGGGGGACAGCCTCCTCAAATATTTTATTGGGGGGCAAAGACCCCTCGGCCCCTAGCAGTTGGCTCCCATGGGTACAATATACTAAAAAAACTCTCCGTCCTTCCTTGGACACTCTAGTGAAGGAAGGTGAGCAAATAAACCTTTTTCTCCGAAACTATTCCTTGAGTGTCTGATGACTCCAACTTCCCTTTCCCTGGTGCAATATTTTTCCCACCCGAGGGCAAAGCCTCATAAGGCTACACTAGTAGGGCCTGCTGTGTGAAGAAATTGCACATGTATTGGGCTTTAAGCTATTTCTATGCTGCCTTGATTTTTATTTAAAAGGGCAGGATAAACTTGATGCCATACATAAAATTAGGCATATGAAAACAGGGTAGGGTGCACAGCCCACTGGATTAATCAATTAATTTTGCCCTAAATCCAGTCACATTGTAAAGTGTGTGGAGCAGCCTTCGCTAACCTGCTGTCCTGCAGCGTTTTTTAACTACAACTCCCGTCAGCCTCTGCCAGCGCTGGTGGAGGGCCCCAGACTGGCAAAGGAATAGGCACCTGAATTTCCCTTTAAGGCCTTCACACATTCCAAATATATTATCACACCTTTGCTGACATCTTGGATAGCTGTTGTTGTTATGACACAGCACCACCGTGTGTTCACTTGAATGAACAGCAAGTAAGGGCCTCCAATCTATAATGTGTGTATATACAGCAGCATGTCAAGAACAGAAACTACCCTCAAGGGCATTTCATTCTGCTTAGGCGGGGGGGGGGGGGACCCTCTTCACTTCACCCATGGGCATAGGCCCTAGAAAAAGTAAAACAATAGGAATACTTAACTGACCAATCACATCAGTTCAGCCCCCCCTAACAAAGTCCTGCCCCCCTCTAACAAAAATCCTGACTATACCCATGACCCCACCCACCCTCCAGAGAACAGTGCTGCAGCAAACAATGCATGGAAGAGCTTCCCCGTTTACACACAGCTATCTTTAAATCCAATTGGATTATTGCATGTTTATCACAATACAGCATTAATTGAAATGTTTCCAAATAACAGACAGAACTAAGGGCTGATTTTGCTAACTCTAGAGGCCCATTTTGCTTAGATTTATAGCTTCGGTCAAGCCTTGGTAGCAACTGAATTAAGTGAAATGGTATTATTCCTGGTCCGCCTGTTATGTATACATTTCCATTCCTTCACTGCTCTTTATCAGTAATATTGGGGAGTCTTTGACCAGCTTAAACAGACGTAACACATTTACAATACTATATGGTACATGGGGGACGCGGGTGGCGCTGTGGGTAAAAGCCTCAGCGCCTAGGGCTTGCCGATCGAAAGGTCAGTGGTTCGAATCCCCCCGGCGGGGTGCGCTCCCGTTGCTCGGTCCCAGCGCCTGCCAACCTAGCAGTTCGAAAGCACCCCTGGGTGCAAGTAGATAAATAGGGACCGCTTTCTAGCGGGAAGGTAAACGGCGTTTCCGTGTGCTGCTCTGGCTGACCTGGAAGTGTCTCCGGACAGCGCTGGCCCCTGGCCTCTTAAGTGAGATGGGCGCACAACCCTAGAGTCTGTCAAGACTGGCCCGTACGGGCAGGGGTACCTTTACCTTTACCTTTATGGTACATCAGGATGGGGAGTCAGTGGCAACACAGCCAGATGGGTGGGGTATCAATAATAAAATTTTTATTTTTATTTTTACTATGTTGCTGGAGTTCCAGTTCCCATCACCTCTGACCTTTGGCCAGGCCAGCTGGGCTGGTGTTAGTTGGGGTGCAATGACGTCTGGAGGGTACCAGATTCCCCATCACTAGTGTATGCTTTTGTGGACTCAAGCACCCTTTGTTGGGTGTATGAAGTGAAATCTTAAATAAATAAATGAGAAAAATGTAGGGTGGAAGTTGAACAGCAGTGAGCTGCAAACCGCAGTCGGTGAGAATTACAGCTTAAACACAACAGGCACACACAGCGGAGTGGTGATAATTACTGAGATGATTGTATTAACACATGTAGCTGGGCAGGAAACCATTCACAATACGCAGGTATCCTATTGGTAAGCTCCCACAGGAGGTAGCGATGGCTACCAACTTGGATGGCTTTAAAAAAGAATTTGGCAAATTAATAGAGAATAAGGCATCTATGGCTACTAGCCATGATGGCTAGGTTCTACCTCCACGGTCAAAGGCATTATGCCACTGCATACCAGTTGCTGGAATCCCATGTGGGCAGAGTGCTGTTGTACTCATGCCCTGCCTGGATGTTTTCCATGGGGGTCTGTCTAGTTGGTCACTGTGAGAACAGCATGCCTCACCAGACCTGATCCAGAAGGCTCTTCTCATGTTCCTGAGCTCATGACTTACAATCATCTCCAGAGGTAGCCCTGCCATGCAGGAGGAAAGTGCTTCAGGCAGAACCAGGAAGAGAAGGGAAGATGAAGGCAAGGAATTGATGCTTTTGGTGCAGTGAGACTATAGCAGAAAGCTGGTACCACTCCACTCCAGTCAAGTCATTATCACTTTATTGTTGCACGACTCCATTGCAATAACTTACACTTGCATAACTCACATTGTTTCTGAGTGTAGTCTTGAGACCCTGTGAAGTAGCTTGAATGGTTTTATAGGTAAGCCAATAATGCTGGATCTATGAGCTGTGATTTGAAGCACTTCCCTGAAGCATTGCGGAAAAAGCAGGAGCGATTTGCAGCTGCAAAAGATGTCATGTCACTTTGATACAGCACTCTTTTCTTTCTTTATTTTAAAAAAAGATCTTGACTCTTCCTTCAGTTCAATCACAGTTATCCCTATCTTCTTGCAGGGAGGCAGCCAACTCTGTGCTTTAGGCTGTTCTTTATTTTCTAACATATCCCTGAACGATTCTGTTACAAACAGCATCCCTTCCTCTTGTTGTACTCCTCCAGGTGCAATGCCTGCTCTCTCTGTTTGTCCTCATGTGCTGTCAACAGTCTGCAACACACACAAAATAGGAGGTCAGCACAGAAGAGAAGGAGTAAAGTAAGAGACAGGCAAATCTTGGCACTAATCTCAATTGAGGGGGGAAGAAGCATACATTATCTCAGCATGAAAGGATGAATACTCTAGCATCACACTGAGTATCCAAAAAGCCAAACTAAGCTCACTGCTCCTTCAGGGACATCCAGTGTACCTTAAAGCATCCAAGGCAACATGATTATCAAATTCAAATCAAAGTGCATCTTTCGCAACTTGTTTGGGAGCAATTCCTCCTGAACTTAATGGGACACACTTCAGAGTGTGCATGTATTTGTTTGGACTGCACATCATCTTGAATTCAAGTATTCTCAAACTGGCTTATGATTTAATATGTGATATCTGCTGAGAGAAACTGACCTTTCTGGGGAATCTGCAAGTTAACCCAACAGGCAGAGCTGGCTCAGCCAGTAGACAGGGTAAGGGTGCTAACTCAGGCAGCAGAAGCCCCCTGAGGCAACACTCCACTCCCCCCCCATGCACCCTGCCTGCCCTGCCGCCTCTGCCAGCAGCAGAGAAGCGCTTCCGCCATCAGTGTCGAATTCAGACAAGTTTGAGTCCATTTCTGGCAAGATCTTGCCTGAAAACACGCAAGATCTTGTGGAGTATATAAGATCTCACACGATTTTCGGTGAGATCTCACTGAATCAGCACCAATGGTGCTGCTGCTTCTCCACTAGTGCCAGATGTGGTAGGGTATGCAGTGGCAGCAGAGTGGGCTGTGCAGGCAATGGCGGCAGCAGCTGGTATCGTGGTGGCAGTGGGAGTGGGAGTGGCAGCAGCGGCAGGGGAAGGCAGCACTTCCAACAGAACAGATCTCCAGCATAGATCTGCTCCTGTCAGGAACTCCCAAGACAAAAACAAGAGACAGAACCTTAGCAAAGAAATAAGAACTTATGTAATCATTACATTGGCAGTAGACCTCCCCCACAAACCTTCCATTTCCCAAACACTAAAATGAAGTGCTAACATTCTGCCTTGTGAGATTATGGTGGTGAAGCTCTATGGCAGGAGTTGTTAACCTGAAGGCCTCTAGATGTTACTGGACCCCCATCTCCCATTGTTCCTGACCATTGGCCATGCTGGCTGGGGCTGATGGGATCCACCAGCATCTTGAGAGCCACATGTTCCCCAGCCCTGCTGTATGGTATCTGAGCATTTTGCAGTCTTTAATATATAATCCTACAGAGTATCCACCCTGTGATAAATGGAGTTTAACTAACATTTGCAGTGTGGCAGTGCTCAAAGCACACCAGGCAACTGCAAAACACGGAGGAAGAAATTATCTCCACCCACTGGACTCTTACTGTTTAACTGGAACCAACACACTGCTATGTTTTGTCATCTGTTGCTGTTTAACCAGGACCAAGCCTAGCAACTTTGCTGCAACTGGATGAGTGGCTTCTGCTCTTTTTCCAGTTTTATGGGAACTGTTTGCACAGACCTTGCCATGTGCAGCATGGGTTCCTGAATGTTATAGCCAGTCCTTGCACTGCATTCATAGAAGACAGCTTTATATTCCTGCAAAAAGAGGGAAAGAAGGCAGAAAGTAACTTCAATCAACAATTGTCAGAATCTGCCACTGGAATCACATTTCCCCCCTTTCTTGCTACACCCATTAATATATTCAGGGTTTACCTTCATGAACACTGAAGATACTCTGTCTTCCTAAAAGTTTCTTGCTTTCTAATTCTCAATGAGGTACCTAATTTATGTGAGTCAAAGCTCACTCACATTGAGTTCTTTTCGGTGGGGGCCATTCACAAAACCTTCAAAAGTCCAAGGTAACATTCTAAGGTTTGAATAAGTTTACTGGAAGAATGTTTGCGCAGGAATGCTTGAGGCACAGAGGAAATTCACACATATCCCTGAGCAGCATGAATTTTCCTCCAGGTCCCTACTTCTCACATACCTGATTCTCATACTGTCCTGTTATGTCTGTAAAACACATTAATTTACGGTACCTCTTGGTGTCACCAACGCTTAACCCTAAACAAGTTTACTCTGAGATTGCAAGGAGACTGGCTTCCAAAGTGATGCCTTATGATCAACTTTTCCCAAGGCAGATCCTCTACTTTGAAATATTCATTCACTTCCTTCTGTATAGAACCATCCTAGAAAATATTTTCATGCGCAGAACAACTCCCTTAAGTATTTCCAAATATTATCATCAGTTATGGAAGATGCCATAAAGTTTGTTAGCAGTGAAGGAGATTGGTGTAAGGAGGAAAGGGAGATACAGAGAACCAGACCTTTGCCAGCCTTTCCCCCTCAGCCCTGGGGACTTTGGGTTCCTCTTTGTCTGCTGTATCCATTTTGTTTCCAACAAGAAATATCACTGCACCATCTTCAATTCCATCCTGAAGAAAAGAAGCCATAAGACATTGCTCAATGAAGTGTGTGCTCATAATTAAGGAGAGAGAGGCTAATTCCTACACTCGAGTATAAGGGTACTTAGAGAACACCTGACCGTTTTCAGTTTAGACAATAGCTAAGCAAAGTTCTAGAACCTAGTTAAATGGTGATCCATAAAGATTATGATTATTAGAATAACTTACATAGTGCCTTTCATTTTGAGAAGAAATATTAAGGTGGTTCAATCCGATTTGTGCTCTTAGGGATCTGAATAATTTGCATGTTCTGAATAAGGGACATTGGGGATAAACCTATCATATTTTTTATTTAAAGAAGAGTCAAGTTAATGCTTTGCCTCAATATTTTTTGGCATGCTTCAACTATAATTAAAGTCAATACTTGAGTATTGTTAAGGTTAGGCTACCTGCCAAGCAGAAAAGGCTCAATTTAAGGAAAGATTATTTTGCTAGCACCCTTCTCTTTCTCTATTAGCTCTCTCCTTTACTAAGGTTAGAGCCAACAGGGATTCCTCCTCAACCTTTCTCCAGATAGACGAATAGGCTAACTGCACAGCCACACATGCTCCCTCTGCCCTAAAGCTCCACAAGATTTCTAGCTCTCATCACCACAAGTTTGTTGCCCTGTTATCAAGACTCCTTGGGCCAGAGTGTTGCTTTAAGGAGGACCATGGCTTGAATGGGGTGTGTCCACACACAGACACCATTTGCTAGTACCGCAGTATAAAAAAAAGAGGTATGGACAGTAAAGACCAAGTTATCTGTGCTCCCTTCCAAGTTTATTCTGACCTGGATACAACTCATCCAGTTTCGGACCGCCATGAAGGAGCACTCTGCTGTGACGTCATACATGACCAGGATGCCATCCACTCTCCGGAAATACTGCTTGGTAATACTCTGGAATCTAATGCCAAACAAAATATGAGAACCTTAAATGCATTCGTATCTTGGCAGACATTCCACTACTCCTAACCGAACCTAGATTTGGAGTCCCTCTGTGTGGCCTTCTTATTGCTAACAGCTCGAAACAGAGGCCTGCCTCCACTTACAAAATGGTGTGTGGAGCACATTCCAGACATTTCCTTTGGAAGGCTGAGACCATAGAAGCAGCCTGGAAGAATCAAGGATTTCCAACTGGGTAAGGTATTGGGTTACATGCTGACAACAGCTTCCCAAGCAGTGCTTGTGCCAAAACAGGAGGTATCACAAAGGAAAAGTTTTGAGAGGGGCCATAACCCAATAGCGGAGTGTGCTCTTTGCAGGGAGAAGTTCCTAGGTTCAATTTCTGGCATGTTTCATTTCATTTCCTTTTAAAGAGCAGACATCTACTTGAAACTCTGGGGAGCTACTGCCAGTCAAGAGTAGACCAGGGGCCCCCAATGTGATGACTGAGCGCATCTACAATAACCCTTTCCCCGGTTGAAATTAGACTTGAAGACGGCATTTGATTGCAGCCAATATAATAGGTTGTGGTGTGTGCCCACAACAGTTTCTCCAGTTTGAAATGTTCCCAGAGGTTGAAAAAAGGTTGGCAACTCCTGCCATAGGCAATACTCAGCTAGCTATGCAAACAGTGTGTCCTGGCAAAAGGCAGCTTCCTGTGTACCTCCTAGCACTGAGGTTTGGCACCACTGCAGTTGGTCTTGTGCAACAGTTGCTGTGTCATCTGGACTGATCCTGCTGCTTCTTTCCCCCCTCCCACCAGCAGCAAAGAGCACAAGGAACAGCACAGTCCTAAGGGGCTTGGATAGAAACCAGGAGCACAATTTTAGCAAGCCTCTCATCAGTGGAAGTACTACAGCCGCTGGCATGACTGTCATAAAGCACGCTTAACTTGGAAGAGGTGCACCCATAAGAAGAAGGACCCTTGTGTCCACTTTGGAGATAGAGAAGATTCTGCTTTAAAACAAGGGTGGAGAAAACAGGTTTTAAAATGGAAAGACTGTCTCAATGGCATGGGTCTGCTTTTGACACTCATTGTCATCTCTCAAACATCAAGGTTGTTTTTCTTCCTGGCTTATTCCTATCTTGCTGAATCACAGCAGCAGCTAATGAGTCTCCACAGAGTTTTACACTGCAGCGGATAGCTGCAAAACTAATGTAAATATTCCTCTACACACATTTTTGAGCAGGGTCGCTGCTCTCCCTTTAAATAATTATTTAGTTGAAAGGTAGGATATAGCCACCTAAGCAAAGAAGGGTCTGGATGTTGACCCAGGTTGTCCCCATTGCATTTCCTGTAGAGTTGTGTGTCTCTACTCCTCCCCCTTCTCTCAGCTGCTTAGAGTGTGCCATTTCAGAAAAGTAGGTGGAAGGATACACGTTGAATTCTAACCCCCTCCCCCCGCAAAAAATCTCACAGCAAGTAGAAAGTTAGCATGCCAGTGAGAAAGGAGGCTAGAGTATGGTTACCAGATTTTTTTCAATGAATCCGGGGACCCTTTTTTTTTAAAGCTGAGTAGCAACAAGGAGTCAGTAGTGGGGATGGTGAGGCAAAAGACCCTGGGCCCAAGCACACATGCATATTGTATAAAGGTGCAAAGCCCTTCTTTCGCACCCTGTGAAACATAAATGCACAGAGTTTTTAAAAAACTGGGCAACGGCCAGCCGCCCACAACTCCCAAGCCTCCATCAGTCAAAACAAAGGGGGAAGGGGGAAGGAGATCTGTACCGTTGGACGTCCCCGGTTCTCCTTCAGCAGTGGCGGTGGCAGTCAGCAGCCCGGAGCCAGCCTGGTAGCGCAGTTGGGCTCTGGCTGTCTTCAGGAGCTGCTCGCTGCTGTGGCGCCCACCATTTTCCCTCGCCTGAAGTCCCCATATGATGTGTTGCGCACAAGACACATCATATGGGGACTTCCAGCAAGGAAAAATGGAGAGCGCCGTAGCAGTGAGCAGCTCCTGAAGCCAGCCAGAGCCAACTGCGCTACCAGGCTGGCTCCAGGCTGCTGAGGCTGCTGCTGTCACGTTTCCCGGGGACAGATTTGCAAACCCTAGGCTAGAGGGCTTGTCCAAACATGACAAACAACTGTGTATAAGAGAACAGCAGTATCATAAGGGGGAACTTTGGAGGAAATAAGTGCTGGGAGAGGGGAAGAAGCACGCAACCTTTTGCCTTGCCCACGTCTTGGGTGCAAAACATTTCCTCAAGCTGCTTCTCCCCTGACCCCCCACCCCTCTGCTTCAAATTGCTCTCTCCCCAAGAGAAGTTTTGTTTTAAATGCCCACTCATACCTTGGTCATCAGGACTTGCTACACATGTTTGTGTACAGCATACAGTACTTCCATTTATATAAAGAAAACTAAGTGGCCAGATTCCAAGAGTCTTGCATGCAAAAAAAAAAAGGACTGGATATGTGAAGTATTACACTAGTCAGTTATTGCTGTTAGTGTTCAAGAACATCTGGAAAATTTGGAAGAAGGTTCAAGTCTCCTCATATTATCACTGTGTGCTTTTAGGGCTCTTTACTGATCTAAATTGCACAAAATCCTTTACCTTTCCTGCCCAGCTGTATCCCATAGCTGCAAAACCACCTGTGTGTTGTCAACCATCAAGCTCTTCACCTGGTAATCAACGCCTGCAGGAGAAACAAGAGGAGTCTAAGGCCAGGATAGCACAGTGGGCAGAGTTGAACTTTGAATCTGGGAGTTCAGGTTAAGCATGTCTGCTTGACTCCTTTTGTGACTTTGGGCTTGGGACAGGGCACCCTTAGCTGCAGTTTCCAGCAGTTAAAGGGGGGCAATGAACTCCTTCACAGTACTGTTGCGAAGAAGGCACCACAGAAAGGCCTGTAAAGCATAATCACAAATTAAAAGTGCTATAGAAAACAGTAGATGGTCAGGGCTGGGGAACAGGGCTGGGGGAAAATGGGTGGGCTTGCAAATAGGTTCATTATTTTTACAGAGTGGGCTGCGGGTTATTTTCTTGTCTGCTTGGAAAGCACGTCCAGCATCTGGTATGCTGCCGCAATTTGAAGTTAAAAGTCTTCCCAATGGCCAACAGTTAGTAGGGATTTGAGAGTTAATGCCTTTAAAGGCTCTTAAGGCACTAAGACAGAAAGTTGCCACCATTTGCTCTTATCACCATCCCTCCACCAGTCCTCTCATCCACCCCCTACCCCTCCACTACCTGCCACAGAGCAAAGTTGTGGCAGGAGTCCCATGATCACAGCAGCAAAGGAGTAGACTTGACAAGAGGCCTGGTGAAAGAACAGACTACATGCGTCCTGCCATTGTGCCTTTTAGAGCATCAAAATATATATAAACCTTGCCTCTGACTGATTGGTTGTGATTTGGATTAGTCAGATCTTAGCACTTAGCTTGCCCTTATCCATTTGTAACTATTCAAAAAAAAACCATTAAAAAATCCTCAACATTAGTTGACTTTAAACATTATACCGCTAAAGGAATACATAGTTGGAATGTCCATGAGGAATATTGCCATGTTTACAGTAGTACTGAAAAGGGGGATGTGTAGTTCACAAATATTTCTGCTGCAGAAGTTGTTGAGCACATGGCACAAGCCTCACTTAAGCACTTCTTAAATTCCCTTAAATTCTCCTTTCTGCAGTTTGGGAGCCTGAGTTACCAATAGTTGAGCTGATCCCAGCCAGGAATCTATTGTAGCAGAAGCGATGGATGAAGGTGCTCTTGCCAACTCCGGAATTACCAAGAAACACTACTTTGAAGACACGGTCAGGAGAAGAACTAGCTGGCTCCAATATCTGGATGTAAAAACCATTATCAAGGTAAGAATGAAAAGGAAAAAGAAATTTTATAGAGCTAGGGTACAATTTATATTTAAAACATGTTAAGGAACAGACAGTGGGAACACTAATATGAGCAAATTTATATCCATGTTCATATCTGGACAACCAGTTGTATAGACTGAGGCTATGTTCAGATATTATCCCCACTTCTCACTGCCTAGAAAGCATCTGCATAAAGATCAGGAATAATAATACTCAAGCTCACAGCAATTTTAACCTCGCACAATCAGGGAGGTAATGTGTTTAAATAAATGTGGGATCTCCTGATCCAGTCATTCATGTCTCCCCTATAGTGAAGTGATGGCCTCTTCCCCATCTCACCTGGAGTACAAAACATCTGTACAGAGCCTGTGAATATTCACCTATTCATCAGAGCTAGCTGAAACAGTTTTCAGACTATACCATATGGGAGGAAGCAAAGACTGAAGAGCAATTTTAAATATATCTGCCTGCTTTGCAACATTTGGCCCTGAATAGATACAGGAGGTAAACAAAAATTTCCAAAGGTTTTGCTGATGGATTTTCTTGTTTTCCTCCTTAGCATTTCTGTTCAGTGTCACTTCAAAATTAGAAAATATAATTGCTACCAGGAATATAATATGCATATTAGTGCGGGAAGCTAATTGTCATGTCCCTGGCCCTAAAAGATTCTTGGAAGATTGAATCAATTGAGGCTGTGGCTGCTATACTGCTGGCTGAAGAACAGAACGAGGCTACCAATTCTGAACCCAGGGGTGATGGTTGTCAACCTGTGGACCCTAAACACAGGGAACTTCATGGCCACTCCCATGAGCCTGATTCGCGCAAGGAACCAAGTACATCCCATTCCACAATGCCTGCCACTGTCAGATGCAGAAGGACTCATCTCCAGGCCAGGAGGTCCTCGTTTTAAAAAGTCACAGGCAGGGAAGTAGACAGGAGAGGTAGGTAACCTGGGCTATAGGAGTTACAGTGGTGCCTCGCAAGACGAAATTAATTCGTTCCGCAAGTTTTGTCGTCTTGCGATTTTTCCGTCTTGCGAAGCACGGTTTCCCATAGGAATGCATTGAAAATCAATCAATGCGTTCCTATGGAAACCGACTTCAGACCAGGTCCGGGGACAGTCTGTCCCCCGACCTCTTCTGAAGGCTGGGGGGGGGGGGACAAGGGCTTTTCTTCCCACCCCCAGCATTTTAAAATCTAAGATGCACCCCCAGCATCTTAAAATGCTGGCGGGCGGGAGCGAAGCCTCCGCTGCCGCCCGCCAGCATTTTAAAAAACCCCGGGACAGCGGAGGACTTCTCCGCTGTCCCGGGGCAATTTAAAAGCCCCCGGGAAGGCAGGCAGGGGGGAGCAAAGACTTTTGCCCCCCCGCCGGCCTTCAGAAGAGGTCCTGGACCTCTTCTGAAGGCCGGCGGGGGGCGAAAGTCTTTGCTCCCCCCCCCGCCTGCCTTCAAAAGTCGTCCGGGATAGCGGAGAAACGAAGGCTGGCGACGGGAGGAGGTCTCTCCACCCCGCCGCCAGCCTTCGGAGGAGGTCCGAGGACAGTGGGGAAGACGCGCTGCGCTTCCCCGCTGTCCCAGAGATTTCCCTATGGGCTTTCGTCTTGCGAAGGAAGCCCATAGGGAAATTCGTTTTGCGAAGCGCCTCCAAAACGGAAAACCCTTTCGTCTAGCGGGTTTTCCGTCTTGCGAGGCGTTCGTCTTGCGGGGCACCACTGTATAAGGTTGCAGTCAAGCTTCAGCTTTTTCCTGAGCAAGTTGCTCACTCGGAGCTCTCCAAGGTACTGAAATGCCACTCTTCCTTCCTATACCCCAGCGTGACCTGTGGACTTCAACTTGAAGTCAGGACGGGCCATTTAGTATACACTAAAAAGCCCACAAATGATTCAAGATTCAATGACAACAAAAAGACAATACATAAGGTTAGTATTCCCCACCCCACCGCCAGCTAGACTCACCACAGTTTCATTACCAGTGGGCCCCCTACTTGGTGATAAATGAAGATAATTAGGTCTGTTGGTCTTTTCTCTCTGGATTGTGCTGGTCTTCATTAGAGACTTTGGCTTCCCAACATTTCCTGCTGTTTCCTGCCTCTCGGTTTTCCTAAGAACCGCATATTCCTCCACAGATGAATTGATTCCTCTTCCCTGCTTCAAACTGGCAGTGTTGGTCAGGAAGAGTTTACAGTTTTTCTCTTCCAAATAAAAATCTTTTGGCAGGACAAGGGGAGTACTTCCTGGAGCAAGCTGCCTGTGCCAAGGCACGCAAACGATGGGAAGAAATGTCCAAAAGCATCAGCACAATCAACATCAGCATTTACAGAAAACTTACCCACACTTTCATGTAATGTCAGCACTGATGAGGACAAGAAACCAACAAAATGTGAGGAGGGAGGAGAGGAGCAGCAGCAGGTATATCAATAGGTTCCAGAATCCTTAAGGCATATCCATACTACAAATGTATGCTGGTTTTTAAATGAGTTTTGCCTCTTGGGGCTCCACTAGATGGGACACTGAGAATTGTACTTTTGGAGGGGCTCCAAGAAGTGTTAACACCCACAGAAATGAATGCATGAACAAAACAAACAATTAACATGTGGAGGTGTGGACAGGGCCAGAGGCAATGCTCATAATTTTTGGCAAACTACCTTGATTGTCCAATATGCCTATCTAGTTGTGCTCTATATTTACATATTACCATCCCAAAGGAGGCCAGAGCTGCTCACATAGTTCAGAAATGTGTGAAATAACTTTGCTTGTGGTGTTCTGCCCCTCCCCTCTAAATGCATGCAATGTAGGAAACTTAAGGGTGTGTATATGTTGAATCTCCTTGTTATCAAAATTAGACTCACCCCTCCTACCCCCCTACACAGTCTCATTCAGTCACCAGTGCCCCACAGTCCCAAGTTCATCAAAGGGCAATTCCCCAAGGACACCCATTGCCTCAACCTTAGTTCAGTTGAAGAGGAGAAAGGGAGAGAACAGTGTGACCCAACAGACCGACTGTGGTGACTACAGACCGACAGCATGCAGTGGGACACAACACAACATATTCAGCTCTGACCGTTTGACTGGCTTCTCCTCCACTAGGTATTTGCCTATCGCTGACCCCTTCTTCAAGAGGGGTCTTTTGCTTTCAAGTGCCTGAAAATTAGAGAGAGCAATTTGGAATCTGTCATCTAAGTAAATTAAGAAAAAACAAGCACCATGTCACTTTGGGAGAGGCTCTCCAACATTTAGTCAAGATTACCCCAGGAGCTGCCATTTTGTGGCTGATGAGACATTAAAAGGTTTTTCAGTTTTGGGTTTGGCATACAGAAAGTACTCAACTTACTTCAGTACCCCACTTGTTATTTATATTTAGAATTTAAATTCCAATAACAAGTAATGCATTCTCAGGATGAAAGTACAATTTCCCAGCTTTAAAATGCATCCCAGAGATGTAACAGCTCTGCACCCTGCTTCCAAAGTTGTGTGGATCACTCACAACAGATTAATCATAATGGGACATTTATTGTGCTGAGTACGGTTTAGAATGATGAATGGAAAGATTATTCATAAATATATTAGTTGTTTCATTCAAGTGGGTTTTATTGTGTGCTTTGGGCAGACTCAGAACCCAGTCTTAACCATCTGATTGGACCTCTAAATGGTCTGTCATAATACAGTCATACAAAAGAAACACTTTACGCAATGGAACATGAGCACGAAAGAGGCAATTGTTTCCTGGCTGTTTCTCTAGCTCTTGCCAGCTTTTATTGGCTCAGTGTAACATTGGCATTTAAAAACAGACGATAAAGGAATATTGCATTGCAATGACAGCACACACAAGCATGAAATATTTGATGAGAACGATAACAGGGTGCATGGCATTTTATTATGGAAGTCTGGATCACAGGCTCACATTCCAACAACAGCATGAATTCTGCAGTATTTTGCCATCACAATATTTGCTGTAAACACATACCAAAGACACATATACTGTAACTAGACTCGTGAATGAATGGGTTGTACCTGGTAGTTCCTAGACTTCTGGAAGGTGCATGCAGGTTTCTCATTAAGGGACACACAAAGGACCAGATTGTACATGGCAAACAACTCCCTCCAAAACTTGTGGATGTATGGACTTGGGGAAACTCAGTTTCCATTCATAACACACAGCGGTACAACCAAGCGCAGTACAAGATGCAGAAGCTCAAGGCACAATGTTTTCAAATATCAATTTCAAAATTAACTTCAGAATGTTTAGGGTGGTAATCCGGATTAATGAACTACTGGGGACCTGAAGGGATTGGCAGAGGAAAAGAAGATGCAAGGACCTGAGTAGTCCTCTGCAGCCTTGGAACTTGTAAAGGTATCAGCAGAGTTTCCACACTGTGCTTCAACTGTCCTAGTTTTGCACAGTATCTCAGGGCCTTACTAGAGTAAATGTTGGAAAACTCTTTTGAAATGCTTTTAGAAGCATCTGTGAGCAAATTAGACTAGGACTGGAGTGCCTGATTGCTTGGTCCAATCTGAGAACTCAGATGTGCCCCTTGCAATCTCTTCAGAAGGATGAGGCAGGGGGCAAATCACCTGCTGGATCAATGTCTTAGCTGCACTTCGCCATGCAAGGCACCTGCTGTGCCTTTTAACTCTTGTCTTGCCTATGTACTGTGCTGACTGAAGCATTAAAGATTTTGGCAGAAACCAAAATCAAAGCTCTTCATCCACCCGGACATTTCCTCCCATTTAAGTGTGCATGGATCCACTCAGATCTCTCCCATGCTTCGTTTAGTTTGGCCTTCTCCCTCACAGTGCCAAATGATTTCCAGTGCTGGCATTTATGCATAAACAGTCTTGGCATATTTAGAAGATTTTAATACTTCACTATTGCAAGGTCTCCCTGTTATATGTTGAAGCAGACTTGGAAATATGTCTTGCAGCGCTGGCAAACTGTCATAAACATGCAGGCAAGAACAAGCCAGATATCTCTCCTACGGAACGATGCACTCAAACTCTGGCAACCTGATTGGTCCATCATTATGTCACAGTGAATGAAGACTGGTACTGACTACCAACCAGGAATCTCTAGCTAAAAAACAGTACAGTTGCAAATCTAATGGCAACAGAAACATCAAGCTAGGAAGGCCCTTCAGGCTTTAAAACCAAAAACCTCACCAGATCTACATTATGCCAGTATACCCCAAGTGTGCACTGGAGTTTGTGCTCTTCTCTATCTTAGAAAAGCAACAGCGTGCAGATGCTCCAACAGACAGACACAAGCATTGACGTCTTGGACAAAAGAGAAATATACGAAGGGCCCATCATCAAGAGGCTTCAAGACAGGAAGTTGCTGCTGCATCAGCAGACTTCTTTTCACCTTGATAATTCTCTTTGATGGTAGAAAAAGCCTTCTAGAAACACCATGCTTTTTTTAACTAAGGCAAACAGACATATTTTGTTTTTTCCTATTCTACTGAGCACTCTTGCAATGGAAAGATTGCTGCAAATTGCAGTTAGTATGAGCAGATATCAAGTGTGTGTGTGTGTGTGTGTGTGTGTGTGTGCGCGCGCGCATATATAGTTGACAGGAACATAATGCAACATATTTTTTCCACTAGAAAAATTAGAACTCAACTTCCTTCATTCCAGTCCCTCTAGCATAGCTGTAGTTGGTACATCTTGATACAAGACTGAGGTTCAGAAAAAAGGGGGGAATATTTAAAAAAATAGAAACAAATAAGGATCTTTTTTTCCATTAACTGAAGGTTTATATTTTACTTCAAGAGTCTGATGTGCTAACTCTAACCCATGCAACCTGCCTTTATGCAAGCACAGTCCACAGTATTATATTATTTGCTTCTGCACTAAACCAGTTCTTTAAATCTGCAGAATGACTGTATGCAGATCAAAAGCTTGCTCTTTTTGAATTCCCACATCAGATGCAATCTGCATGAAGAGTGGTGGGTGCCTTTCTTCCCAGCATCCAACCAAACCTCCATCTCATTAATATTTACTTTTCAAATACGATCAGACAACAAAAGCCATTGTAGCTTGCCTGGAGCCCATATTCCACTAGAGAACAAAGATAGCAGACTGTCAAAGGGACAATCCAGCGGCTACTTTGACATGTGAAGAAAAACCAATTTATGTCCATATGAAGTCTCTCCACGTCCCTCCATGCCATACTGTAAATTGCTTTCAATGCGACCCCACTCAAGAGTTCTAAAACGTATCCCATGGTGCAGCATGAAAGGGATGCTCTTCAAAAAAGACATTAAAGTGCCAAATGGGATCTGAGAACTCACTGCATTGCTCTCTCTGAACTGCAACTGCAGAAGACAGTTTCTCCCTGTTGCTTCTGCTGCATTTAATGATCTCATTGAGACTGTGGAGATCACATGCCCCCAGATTTATCTGGAGATGCAGCCACAGGCCTAGTAATCAGAAAGATGAGTCGTGGGACAGCCGGAAAGCCAGCCCACTCATAAGGCAAGGTAAAGAAGCCACCTCTGGTGGTGGAAACACAAAAGGCGGTGCCCCGCTGGCTCTCCGCCTGCCCCACCACTTCCACTGCAGCTGGAACGCTCCCTTCTAGGCGAGTGGGAGGGGAGAGGCCTGCAGAAAAGCTTTGTAGAACAGCTCACACTTGCTCAGCTTTGCAGTTGCTCTCTCTCTCCACTCCTAGGTAAGCAAGGCTTCAGTGGGGAGGCAGCAGCAGTGTGTGTTGGGGAGGGACACCTTGTTTCACCCTCAGATGGCAAAACAGGATGGGCCACCCATGGACAGACAGACAGGTGCACAGATGTTTGCACAATCATACCCAAAGATTAGAACATTGCACTGGAAACTTCCCTCTCCTTTTTACACAAAAACATACATAGGAGCTTCAATAAAAACATTCCTGCACCCTACGCTTGTACAACACTAAAGACTAGATAGCTGATCAGCATACACTCCCCCCCTTATACTTCATTCCTGCCCTGCATTTGTGAAGCAGGGAAATCAGCCGCAAGAGGTCTTTTGGCTCATCTTCACATTTTGGTTGTCTGCCTCGCTGGTCTACGATCAAATCTACTAAGTGGTATGTTTCGTGGACATTACATCTCTCCTACCAAAAACAAACTGCCCAGGGATGGAAAAGGCCCATTCCAGGAGCAGGCCAAAGTAAGAGGCAGAAACAGACAAAAAGACATCTTGTTTTCAGTCTCTTGATTGTGGGCTGCATGACAATGGAAGCCTAGAAGGATACAGGCACAAGGTGATATAGCAGAAGAACTATAGGCTGGAATGAGGCAAGGCGGTTCCAGAGATGAATTCCAGACTACTCTGCAGAATGGTGGTGGTGGGAAGAGAAAGAACGTAACTGGGCCTTCTCCAGGCTAGATGACAATGGCTCAGCCTTAAAACATGGACGTTCAGCTACGGTTCCTCTGAATGGAAGCCTTAGTGTACAAAGTTCAAAATGTGCAAAAGATTTTCTCCCCCTCCAGGTTGGAGGGACACCCAACTGTAAACGCTTTCTTGTAGAGTCAGGAGCCAGCAGTCCTTATTGCCCACTTTGTAATTGCCTGGTTTAAAAATGCGCAGCTCTCTCTTAAAAATAATAATAATAAGTCCACATGCAGGCACTACAGGGTTTCTCAGTCAATGCCCCCCCTGTAAATGAAATGACCCCAAGTGATGGCAACAACAGCAAGCTGCAAAGGGGAGGCGGCGGGGGATTAGAATTTTCTTTCTCAGACTAACCAGCTTCTTGGCTTCAAAGGCATCTCTCTCGTCTCGCAGCTTCTTGTTCATCTCCCTGCTCCAAAGGAAAGAGACACACAGAGGTAAGCGGTGGCAGTTGCTCTACACAGACTGTGGTAGGGAACTAACAATCCTCAAAGAGAAGCAAGAAAGGGAAAGAGACTACTCCTTTTCGCAACCACAAATCCCCATTCAGGTTTCACAGAAGCTTCCTGTGGCCTAAATCTTCACTGCAGAAATGGCTTTGGTGCTGCTCTCAGACATTATTTTAGCACCATCTATTGCCACTGGGGAACTGAATCACCCAAAGCACTGTACAGCTTGCTGCTTAGGTCAAGCGGCAGCCCTGTGGGTCTGTAACACCAAGGAGCTTTTTTATTCTATACCTCCCTATACACATGAACAAACCCTCAAGGCCCCACCTTTACCTGAGCAGTTCCAGTTGTCGCAGGAGGCTTTTCTTTTCTTTCTGCATATTCTTAGAGACTCTGAATACATCCCTAGATTTAAAAAGGGAAGGGGAGGGGTTAGTGTTTTAAGGGTTACAAGTTTTGTCCTGTGCAAACGTTGATAAAGCTACCCCTGCCCGTACGGGCCAGTCTTGACAGACTCTAGGGTTGTGCGCCCATCTCACTTAAGAGGCCGGAGGCCAGCGCTGTCCGGAGACACTTCCGGGTCACATGGCCAGCGTGACAAAGCTGCATCTGGCAAGCCAGCGCAGCACACGGAAACGCCGTTTACCTTCCCGTCAGTAAGCGGTCCCTATTTATCTACTTGCACCCGGGGGTGCTTTCAAACTGCTAGGTTGGCAGGCGCTGGGACCGAGCAACGGGAGCGCACCCCGCCGCGGGGATTCAAACCGCCGACCTTCCGATCGGCAAGCCCTAGGCGCTGAGGCTTTTACCCACAGCGCCACCCGCGTCCCTGCAAACGTTGATAATATGACCCAAATGCCAAAGCTGCTGGCGGCAATCGAGGGCAGAGGGTGGACTAATTAAATTAACACTGGGTTAGGAGCTGACTCCCATTCTTGCTCTCCATGACTTGCTGATGCAAAATATCATTCTCTTGGTTTCCAAGAGAAATTCCAGCTGAGGACCAAATTTACATGCACCCTTTTTGCACCCATCACACTGCTCTGCTCCCCAATCACTCCACCTCCCAAAGTACCTTTCCTGTTAAAAATGAGCCATTAGTCTATGTTTGCATACAGTTCAAAATAAGAAGAATGTTTACTGTGCATACTGCATATTTAAGTTAAAATGCCTACATCAGCTCTAGATTTGTTTTTATTACTAAAAATAACAACCCTGTACCATTTGGGACTTTCTATCTGAGGAGAAAAGGTGGCAGAAGACCTACCTACTGGGATCCTATTGTTCTGCAGACATGACGTCCAAATTCTTATCCCGGTTTATAACTGAAGTCATGTTTTGGCCAATTCAGTATTAGAAAGTAGATTTACTCTTCAATAAAGCAAAAGGTTGCCCAATTTGCAGTGACATCATACATTTTGAACAGTAATCTGACTGATTGCTGTGGAGATCAGTGTTATTGTTTGCCACATTGTTTGTTCTCAGACTGGTAGGAGCCGTGGTTTTGACAATACAAGATTTGGATTGACCTTTTATGGTGAATTGCTGTGGGGCTTGCTTTCCGAGCCATTTCTATCATGGTCTTCTAGGAAATGTAACCAGGAAAATGATTTTTATCTCTAGTTTATACAGAGCAGGGATAGCCAATGCACTACCTTCCAGATATCATTGGACTCCACCTCCCATCATCCCTGATCATTGTCCATGCTAACTGGGGCTGATGGGAACTGGAGTCCAAGAACATCTAAATGGCACAACATTAGCTACCCCTGACAGAGAGAAAAGAAATCATGTTACTAACTCAAGGCCACATAGGAAGTAGATTTGTGGAAGAGAATAAAAACATCATGCATGTTCTAATCCTTTAACTCAGTCCTGGAAGCTAGAAAGTGTTCATGCTTACAGACTGAAATATACTCAGAGTCGCAAAGTGATTTCATGCTCTTTATTCAGCTCATAGTGGTGAGGAGGAATGAATGAAAGTCTCCTCAAAGTATCTGCTTTATATACATTATTTACACAATGGGCTGCACATGATTGGCTAATTCTGGAATTCTACTGTAAGCCAATCAGGTTGTGGATTCACTTCTATCTGGAGCATGATTGGGTGGTTCCTGCCAACCAATCGTACTGCTGCATTGTTCTAGGACCAATCAGACTGCTGCATTCTGAATCCTATTGTTCTAGGACCAATCAGACTGCTGCATTTTGGATCCTATTGTTCTAGGACTAATCAGACTGCTGCAGTTTGGATCCTATTCAACTCAGTACATAACACAGACCCTCTTTAATTTTATTTTATAAAAATAATGTAACACTTGATTGTAAAACAACAAAAACAACCTCAAGGTGGTTGTCTACCTATTTGGGTAAGGCTTGCCTAAACAAAAACACTTTTAGCAGGCGCTGAAAAGAGTACAGTGAAGAGACCTGTCTGATGTCAATAGTCAGAGAGTTCAAAAATGTAGGTGCTGCCACACCAAAAGATCAATTTTTTACAAATGCAGACCAGGTATTATGTGGCGCCTGTAAACAGTGCCAGTTCTGCAGGTTGCAGTAGCCACATATTATTGCTATTCATTTCTACATTCTGTAGTCCCACTGATTAACTAATTAGCATAAACCAGCATTACACAGCAAAAGCAACTGGCACTTTTCATTGCATGTTCTACAGCCCCACCCCAACACACCTGTTTTTCTGTTCCTGCTCTAGCTGGGCTTCTTTCTGCAGCTGTTGCAGGTGACCTCGGGCTACCTCCAACTCCCATTTGCTTCTCTCCAGTTGGTCCAGGAGATTGTCGTTCAAGATTTTCAGCCTCTCATTTTGCACCCGCATTTCCAGCTGCTCTGAGCTCTGGGACTGTAACTGATGTTCCAGCTAAAATATGCAAGAAATCAAGATGAACAGATCTGAAAAACCATAAGTACAAAGGCATCAGTAGCCAGTGTTTGCAAGCAGCTTTGAGCTGTAGGGGAGGCATAATAAAAATACAGTGGTACCTCGCAAGACGAATGCCTCGCAAGACGGAAAACTCGCAAGACGAAAGGGTTTTTTGTTTTTTGAGCTGCTTCGCAAGACGATTTTCCCTATGGGCTTGCTTCGCAAGACGGAAACGTCTTGCAAGTTTGTTTCCTTTTTCTTAACACCGTTAATACAGTTGCGACTTGACTTCGAGGAGCAACTCATAGCACACGGTGTGGTAGCCTTTTTGAGGTTTTTGAAGACTTTGGTGATTTTTGAAGCTTTTCCAAAACTTTTCCAACACCGTGCTTTGCAAGACGAAAAAAATCGCAAGACGACAAAACTCGCGGAACGAATTAATTTCGTCTTGCGAGACACCACTGTATGTTAAATTAAAAAAAAGTTGTACAAAGGAAAACAGAAAGCAGAGCAATACATCTGTGAGGTTTTTTTAGCTGCAATGCATTCAAGTACATTAATAACAATAACATGTTAAGGACCTGAACCAATGGATTTAAGTTACTAGAAAGGAAATTCCAACTAAACATCAGGAAGAACTTTCTCGCAGTAAGGACTGTTCGACAGTGGAAGCGATTCCCTTGGAAGGTGGTGAATTGGATGTTTATAAGCAGAGGTTGGGGGGGCCATCTGTCATGGATGCTTTAGCTGAGATTCCTGCACTGCAGGGGTACAGTAATTACCATGGTATCAATACCCTAAAGACCTTCTAGCTGCATTTTCATTCCCTATTGTGAAGTGGTCTTTTGTGGTCCTAATCTAGATGCCTGTTGGTCACATGAGTGGATAACCTCAGAGTCATAGAATTGAAGAGTTGGAAGGGACCCTGAACTGAGAAAACCCATATGGGGGAATTCTTAATCTCCTCTCTGTTGTTTTGCCCCAACGTAACTGCTCTTTAGTTTTTAAACAACCCAGAGCAAATACTGACACTGGACTTACCCAAACTGCACCAATAACGCAAATTACACAGTGTTATCTCTCAGCCGCATTCCTATAAGAGGATATTATGGCACGATGATAACGTCATGTGCAAACAGAGCAGATGGCCTTCCTTGGGTTGGTGGAGGTGGAGTCACCTCTTTGGAGCTAAAACATGAATGGTGCTGGCATCACATACTAAGGTTGTGGGCCTTGGAGGTTAAAGGAGGACACTGTGTGCTTTGCAAGTGGGGCAGCAAGCTAAAAGGGCCCTCACAGCTGAAGGTTTAAAATCCTGAAAGGAACTTGGCACAGCACCATGAACTCCAGTGACAGAAACAATTATCTTCCGTGTAGATAAGCCTCAAGCGGGACTGTACAGATGAATCTAAAGGTGCAGAAAAGGACAAGCCAAATTATTGGTGAACTGGAGCAACTCCTCTATGAGAAGAGGTTACAATGCTCAGGGTTTTTTAGTTTGTCAGGGAAAGGACAGTGGTTGTGGTGGGGCCATGACGCAAGATGCTTCATATAATGCACAGTACGGAGAAAGAGAATATAATTTTTTGCTCCCTCATAGATTACCAGAATCCAACATCATTCAGGGAAGCTGAAGGGTGGGAGAGTCAAGGCAGCCAGAAAAGAAGTTCTTCTTCACAAAGTGCAAGGTTAAATTATGGAATTTACATCTACGAGAAGTGGTGGTGGTGGTGGTGACCATTAAAAGAGAATTAGAAAAATTCCTGGAGGATAAAGCTATAAATGGCTAATGGCTACTAGACATAATGACCGTGTGTGTGTGTGCACCCGTGGGCGCGCGCGGGCAGAGCAGTGTTTCCCAAACTTGGGTCTCCAGCTGTTTTGGGACTACAATTCCCATCATCCCTGACCACTGGTCCTGCTAACTAGGGATGAATAAGGTTGGAGAGATAAAATAATCACAGGCAGCTCCTATACTGGGCCAAGGAGCCACTCCAAAAAATTACTTGCTCCCCACCTTACAGGGCACAGCCTCCCTGACAGCTGGTGCATACAGGATTTGAGTTTTTCCTACTTGAGCGCACCTAGTCTGTCTGGTGCTGATGGGGGGTGGGGAGGAGAACAGTGAGAAGAATTTTCCTTCCCTAAAGTAGCTTATATACTGGGGGGCACTTGCATATGTCTACTCATCACTTCAGGGCTTCCCATGATTTGCAGAAGTGAAACAGCTGGTCACAGCGGAGTATGCAATGCTGTCTCTTTCCCTACAATGAAGGCTTTTGGCACTGGTTTTTCTTGTAACACCAACAGGAACCAGCAGGAGCTGGGGCTAAGGTGGCATCTCAGGCACAAGACCCCAAATTCAGCTCTAGCCCTGTACATGTGTAAGAAGCAATGACTTTGGTGTCAAAAGACATCGCCAGCCAGTTCAACGGGACCTGTGTAGACAATGCAGAGGGTAAAATCCAAATTCAAGCAAAAGGAACAAGGGGCACCCCCTCCAAATCACCTTTTTCTGGTGGTATAGCATCTTCTCAAATTCTTGTTCTTTGCTCTGCAGCTCTTTCTGAAGCAAGCTGCTCTTCTCATGCTTCATTGATCCCTGCAAAAAGTAGATAAATTGGTGCTTTTCCTTTTTTTCTTCACTCCAACGTTCAGCATAAAAATAAATCTCCAGCACTTTGCAAGGATGTGGCTCATTGATTTAGCAACCGAGCTCAGTGTCCAGCTCAGGCATCCTGAGAGTGAAGGAATGAGGTGTTTACCTGGCTCAGCAGCCGTTCCCTTTCTGCTTTGATTTGTTGCTCCATTTCTTCATAAAGGCACCTGATTTCGCGGTCATGGTCTACCTCCCTCCTAAAAGCACAGAGCAAGAGGGATGAAATGCAAGGAACAGATACAGTGTAAAGACAAAGTGGGAGGAGGGGGGAGATTGGGGGGAGGGGGAGAGAGAGAGAATTACCTCTCCACTGAGAGAAAATAAATACGTCTCAGCTAACATAAGATGTGCTGTCTCACTTTTAAGGAACTTGAGTATTGATATGGAAATCCTCTGGCACTAGGGGGCGCCAGAAAGGCTTAAAAAGCTGCACATTGAGAACATTTTCTCAGGAAACTTTTGCAACCCAACTGCTCATGCTGCTTAAGGTTAGACTAAGGCTGTGTACACATTACTAGCTTAAAAAGCAGCTAGTCTGTTCTTTTCCCCAATCTGGGTTGAAGCTGGGGAAGGTTTTTGGGTTTTTTTGGAGAGGGGGCGTTGTGGGAAAACATATCAAAACAGTATTTCAAAAGCAATGACAGGATAAGTACCAGATGGAAGTGGATCGTGGTTAACACTGTGTGCACTTCCTAAACTAGTGGTGGAAGCACACTGGATACAGACAAAATTTTAGTGTGTGCACAGCCTGTTTGCTGCAGGTGTGATTGGGTTATAGAGGAAGAAAATATTCATAGAGTAATAGGTCCCGCTGAAGGCATTTGGACACTTCCACCTCCTTCTTTGGCATTCACAAATCCTCTTGTGGATGCTGAGTGAAACTTTCCCTCCCACTTACAGCATCCTAAGACTGCATTGCACTTTCTATGGCGTAGTCACATGATGTCCAGAAACTGCTTACCGTTTCAAGGCCTGCTCAATCGATTCCTTCTCGTGATGCATGTCCCTGACATATGAGGAAATGTGGAAGAGAAATTCTTCAAAACTGGTTAGGAGTTCTGGCTTTTCTTTCCGGAGTTGAGCCCAGAGCTCCTGAACCTCGTTCTGACTGGAGCAAAGACAAACAGCAAAGTTTATCAGTTTGAGAGTGATAGATAAGCATAGTCCTTGCACCAAACAGGCTATAAAGAACTTATTTTAAAGTACTTTATAGTTAAGCCTCCTAGTCATCCCTCCCTGAGATGAGAAAATCCAGGAAATAAGAGGTCAAAAGTCCTCATCTTAAAAAGTAAAGATGCATCTGAACATGTATACACTGTTGGAGAATCTCTTCCCCCATGTGATTTTGCCCGAGCCTTATTATGCTCCTAATACACCCATCCCTTTCTACTAGTCCACTGCTACCCATGCTAGTCCCAACATCATCTGGAAGACCACAGGTTCTCCATTCCTGTTGTAGCAGTGCAACCCAGGAAAACATAGCACATGCATATTAATGAAGAGGACATGATAGATAGAAAGGGTCAAAGCAATGCTTCTGCGAAACAAGTTTCCTAAAGATAGCAACAGCAATCGTAATACAGTGGTACCTTGGTTTATGAACTTAATCCGTTCTTAAACCAAGGCGTGCTTTCCCATAGCAGCGTGGGACTCAATTTACAAATGGAACACACTCAACAGGAAGCGGAACATGTTCTACTTCCAAGGCAAAATTCACAAACCAAAACACCTACTTCTGGGTTTGCAGTGTTCTTAACCCAAGTTGTTCATAAACTAAGCTGTTCTTAAACCAAAGTACCACTGTAATAAACATGCACAGGTTGGAAAGTTCCAACTTACTCTTCAAAGACCTGGGATGCTTCGAGCTGCTCCAACATGGAGCAAAACCTCTTCTCTTCCTCTTCCTGGTCCAAGTCATCTGACCAGCCTGACTCAAAAGTCTCCTCGTGCCTGGTGCTTCCAGAGCTCTCATACTGCCCAATCCCTATGAACTTGCCTAGTCAGTGGAATGAGAAAAACAAAGGACTATAAGATCTCTCTAATCCCAGGTATGGCTTGCATCAGTGTTTGAATTATGAGGGGAGAGAGCTTGTGAAATCCACAAGCTCCATATCAGACCCCTTCCACCTTTAGCCAAATCAGGGCAACAGTAAAAATTAAAAGAACTGGAACTGGTCCACTTCAAACACAGAACCATGGTTAACTTCTGTAATGAAGGAAGGAAGCTCTTCACATGCTCAAAGGCACTCTCTGCATTACTCCATGTCACTTTCGTTATTTCAAATGTTCCAAGGGTAAGCCGTTCCACTCAAAACAGGTTCAAGGACTGCGTCCTGGACTTTAAACAACGCATTTACCATGGAGTTCTATACATGTCTACTCAGAAATGAGCCCCACCTGAATTCAATGGGTCTTACTTCTAGGTAAGGGATCAGGGCCAGATTAATACATGCTGAGGCTCTAAACAATGCCAAGTTTAAGAGACTTCCATAGTGTTACCCCCCCCCAAAAATGTGTAACTTCTAACAGAAAGGACAATAAAAACAGAAATAAAAATTAAAAGTTTTATATTTGCATACGGATTGGTACATAGGTGAGGATAAAACTAAAAAATAACCATCTGACTAAAACATATATTGCAATAAGCTTCTCTTTATAGAAAACACATTTAAATTAAAATGCCTTATGGTTTCTTACTTTGCCCATATGAAGACTTTTAATGCACAACAGCACGATATTTGTCACACTTTAGCACTTACTAAATGAAAAAGGCAATACAGCGTCAACTGTGTGTGTTCTACACAGCCCTCCCCACCCCATCATTGGTTTGATCCATTAAAGTACGGTTGTTTTTAGAGTTAACCACTCTGGCCTTAGAGACTGGGAACTGGCACAATTGCACAATGTCAATACCGGTTGGTCCAATTCCAGATGTTACCCACTGAGCTTTAGGACACCACAACATTTACGGCTTGTGCAAAACACACTACGAACATGACTGTATTCCAGTTCAAATAAGAGCCTGCCATTACCTTCTTGCCTAACGCCCCACTCCTGATAGCTTTGATCAGCACTCTTCCTGGAATCTTCATCAGATTCCTGTAACTGTTGACTTAAAGCTGTTTTCTTAAGGAGAAAAAAGGAACTTGGCTTCTTCTAATCAGCACAGGGCCATAGAAAAGCCAGAAAAACCTCTGCTCTCCCTCATGCAGCTCATACTTGGCAAAACAGCTTTGGCTGCACTTTGCTGCAGGTGGATCTCTCTGCGGTGGCTGCTGCACAATGTCTCCACAGGAGCTGCGTGCTTGAGCGCTGAACTGGAAGCATTGGAAGGAGCCTTCTCAGCAGAGACAGTGAGTGTATGGCATGATATAGCCCCACCTCAGCATTGCTCACCAGTAGGGTGGGTGCACGTTCCACAATCATGCTGTGCAAGCATGAAATCTGGTGCAATATACAGGAATTCACTACTCCAAGAACTGCACTTTTGGAGATAAGTTTGAAAGCATGTATGGCAAAGACAGCCCCAGAAGCTGCACATCATTCTCATATATATGTGTGTGTGTGCGCGCGCGCATGCGCGCACGCCTGCTTTATATCTAGCAAAAATAACATTTGCCATGTAGGAGTATTGCACTGGCTTGAATCTGGTCCCTGGGTTTCTATCTCAATACCACTGTTCCTTAATTCTCTGCAGTTGCCTTGGCTGCCTAATATACGGTAAACTGCCAGTATTCCAAGGAAGGAAAATATTTATGTTAAGAACACAGGAAGCTGCCTTATACTGTATCAGACTCACTGGTCCATCTAGGTCAGTACTGTCTACACTGACTGGCAGCAGCGCTCCAGGGTTTTCGGCAAGAAACCTCTCCCAGTCCTACTTGGAGATGCATGCAAGGCCCTCTGCATGCAAGGCAGAAACTCTACCACTGAGCTAAGGCCATTTTTCCCCATTCTGCCCACTGCCCACATACATGCTAAGCAACAGTAGTTGTCATTTTCTCCATATAGCCACTGAGCTTCACACTCTCTCGTTCCTCTTACCTAGTCCCATACTGAATTCGACTGGCGTGAGATACCCATTATTGTCTTGCTCTAGGCTGTCAAAAACAGATTCTAGTTGTTCGGGAGTGAGAGGAAGTTCACTTTGTAGCCGCTGTGAAGGAGGAGGAAAAAGAAAGGACAGACCATTATAACCACAAGAAAAAACTTCCATTCATCCTATTTTCCCAGCTCCCTTCACTGTTACTGCCACAAGTGGCCAGATTCAAAGTGTGCAAGTTGCAAATTCTTCATCTGAGCCCAAACCCAGAAAAAGGTGACCTGAGGAAAGGAGGAATTCCTGACAGGCAAAGAGAAGAGGCATTTCTGCTGACCGGACTGCGGGGATGTGAATGCCTTGCATTCAAGGTTGCTGACAAAATGCACTTTCATGACAGAACACCAGTCTTCCCATTCAGAATAGCCACATAATTCAGCTTCTGAAGGGACTGTGCCACTTCAAAATTCAAGTGTTGGTTGCAAGATCAATTGTTCAACCAAACAAACCTGCTTGTGAAGGGCGGCCCTACTGTTAGGAAGGATGAGGCAGCTGCCTCAAGGAGCAAATGCTGGGGGACAGCAGTGCCATTCCCGACTGTTCCTCCTGCACCCCCCTGCCATTCTCCTCCTGCAGCATGGCTGGTCCTGCTCCACCTCCACAAACAAACAAAAACATTCTAGCTCATGGCTTGGATGCATGATAGGAGGGAAAGCTTCTACTGAACATACGGATTGGGTCAGAGGTTGCTGCAACCCCCTCAATACATTGATTTTTCACCCTTGCCAAACTCAAGTCAATGAGCATTGGAGCTTGTTGAGAGCTCAAGCCATTCTCCATAAGAAGGCAACAGAAGTCTGTGAAGTCCAATCTCATAATAAGGAAAGGAGGGGTGCAAAGACGATGTTTTGGTACAAGACAATATATCTGTGTCCATCAGGACAGATACTGCAAGTGCTTCTGTTAACAGGTGTGTGTACAAAATCTGGCATTACATAATTTATTGCACAACTCACTGGGGAAACTAGCTCTTGCTTAATAAGCGTGAAACAGGATAAATTCCCCGAGTGACCTCAGGGGCTCTGGGAGCCTTAACAGTTGTACAAAAGAAGGGAATTCAGCAGGTGGAAGTTTGCAGGTCAAACTCCACCTGCAGACATTCTTTCTTCTACAGAACTCTTGCAAAGGTGCAAGAAACCTGCCCTCCTTTTTCACCTTGCTACCCTAAACCAAAGATGGGCACAGAGTGAGAACACCAACAAGCGGATAGTGTCCTCCGTGTCACCTGAGGGAAGCAGACCAATTTGGGAGGAGCAGGACAAGCTCTGCCCTCCAATCGAGGGCGAATGGTGCACTCACTAGCTCCCTCACTCAGCCTAATGATATGATTTCTTTATAATACATATTGCCTGCCCTTCAATCAGAAGGTTACAGGGTGAGTCGCAGCATGTAACAACAGAAAACACTCACAATACAATCAAAACAGCAACAAACATAACAAGCAACCACCCATAACAATAATTCAAGGACAGGGTTGAACTCCCTCATCCAGCTTCCAACAGAAGTCATCAGCCAAGGGGACCAACGCAGTTTCGGTACCATGTCCAGCACATTTGCCACTTGAGGTGTGTCAGGGAACTGCCATTGGAGCCTAGAGAGGAGGTAAGGCTCCTCAACGATGCAGGAGAAGGGACCAGCAGGGGGAGAGAGAACACTTCCTTTGAGGAAGGAAATAGGAGTAACACCAGGAAGCAAGGGGAACTGCGGAGAGAGGGCTCCAAGACTCTTCCACGGAGACCAGCGGGGAGAGCACAGGACCTCCGTTGGGCATGCCCACCCTGCGCAGAAGACTTCCACACAGGGAGGCGAGGAGGAGACTTGGTGTCAAAGAGTTTCTATGTTGGAAGAAGTTCAGGAAATGCCCACTGATGGATTCTGCCAGCGACTGACACAGCCATGGAGAAAGGGTTGTCCAGCCAGGGAAAGGTTTAGCCAGGCTACGTTGCCTAGAACAGTAGCACCCTTTACGCACAAGCAACCCCCAACAACCTTTACAAGGTGAAACAGGAAGTACTGCCCTGCCGCCTTCACCATTGGCACAGATTTCAGGTGAGATTCTGGCAATTTCTATAAAAATCTCGCTGAAATTGCACGAGAGCTCATGTGCTCAGCAAGATCTTACATGATTTCGGTGAGATCTTGCCAGAAATTAATGCAATCTTACCCGAAATCATTGCCGGTGCTGCTTCTCTGCTGGCAGCCTGACCTCACCTAACGGCTGTGCTGGCCCTGATGTCCAGGCCTGAAGCCAAACTGAAATGGCAGCAGGTCTGAGGCTGGGTCACTATCACCCTGTTGAGCATAGGGTAGGGAATTTTGTGTCTGGATGATAGGTGCTTAGCGCTTTGCTCAAGCAATAGTCATTCAGCATAGCCTTTGAAGGAGAAACAGTAGATCAGGGGCATGAGAGCAAAGGGGCCTCTAACATTTCTAATAGCTGTGTGGAAGAAGGAACTTTTGGGCAGGAGCTTTCATGACAGGTTGCACCTGCCAGAAATTCCACACTGCTGTGAAAGATACAGGATCCCTTGTCCTCCCTGGCATTTCATCACGCTAAGATAGAGAAGGAATGGAAGTACAGACAGAGCAAATTTCACAGCAGCAGCAACAGCAGCCCCTGATGTGTCAACAGGAGTTTTCAAGTCTTACACACACATTATAGACTTCTGATATCAGTGGGATGTTGATGAAATCTCTCTCCAGCACAATGGTAAATGAAATCTACACATGGCAGTACATTGCTCATAGGTGGCAGTTCAGGAAAGCAAGAGCTTTTCCTCTGCAAAGGAGGTGGCCACAGTCAATTTTCCTGCTTACCTGCATGTCCAGCTTGGTGATAAAGCCCTTCTCCTCCTTGTCACAGAGCCTGAAGAGCTCCCTGGCCTTCTCCAGCATCTCCACCTGCATGTTTCCCACATCATTCAAGCAGAGAGTGGAAGAGATGCCTGAGGCTGCTCCATCCTCTTCCTTGTCCTCCGCATGGGAACTTTCAGAGAGTTCTTCCCCAGGTCTTTCCATTGCTTCAAATGACCATTTACTTGCAGGGACTGGAGTGCATCTAACTGCAAATATAAGGCATTCTTCTTCAAAAAGCAATGTTGGATTAAATTGTTTAGACTCCTCAAAATACTGGCCTGATTCACAAGTACCATTAAGCCATAGTTTAAAATCAACTATGACTTAACACAAATGAGGAGTGTGCTGGTAGGTGCAGCCAATGCAATGCTTCCTTCAACCCTCCACTGTTTCTGTGCCACCAAGAAATAAGCCGGAGTCCAGCTTGTGGTGATGTCTCCATAGAAGCCAAAATTTGTTCTTGACTTAACACTCACAGTTTATATCAAGAGAAACAAGCGATGAGCCTGGGTTCAGAGGTCACAAAGCCCTTTCCGCCCCTTGCAGCGGAGAGGGTGTTGCGGGCAGGATCCTCCCACATTCGCGGGGGTTTCCCTTGCCCCCGCGAGACTTTGCCAATGAGATTTGTCACTTGGTGAGAAAGGAGGGGTTGATTGGCTCCCGCTGCATGTGCTCAATAATGTGCTGGTGGCTGCACCCGTTGCTTTCATGCAGCTCCCAGGCCAAAAATGATTAGTCGCCCCCTGAAATAAGCACACATTTTTGGACTTTTAGATTAGCCAGTCTTTTGTTTAGGGAAGTTGTTAATGTTTGATGTTTTATAATGTTTTTAAGATTCTGTTAGGAGCCGCCCAGAGTGGCTGGGGAGGCCCAGCCAGATGGGCTGGGTATAAGCAATAAATTATTATTATTATTATTTATTATTATTATTATTATTATTAGTGTTCAAGGCACCACTGGTTCAGATTCAGAGAAACACAAGTGAAATTCCTGAAGTTGCTACCAAGGGTTGCATTCAATTACGGTAACTTCTACTGAGAGCAGAGCCATTGAAATGAATGACAAAGACTAACTTTGGTACATGAATTTCAATGGTTCTACTCTAAGTAAAACTTAGCGGAATGCAACCCTTGGGGTCCTGATATGGCCAGTTGAAAGCCGCTTATTATTTATTTCCATGAAGCACTTAGGCCGCAAGAGTTTCATGTCCTAACAATGCCACATCCTTAAAACAATTTTAACAACTGTTTCCTTTCCTTAGGTAATTGTAATCCTACAAGGGTAGTTTAGCATGTTCAAAAAAATTCTCAGCACCCTCACCAAACCAAAATCCATATAACTGTTTGAAAGGAAATGAAGACAACTTAAGCGGCACTTTTGTATGCATGCATAGGTATGCTCTTTGGACCACTTCTTAGGATGCCCCAACATAGCAACACACTCTAAGGCTGCAATCCTACACATATTTAGCTGGAATGTACTTCTGAGCAGACATGCAAAGGATTGCACTGTGTGCAAGTCAATTAGGGGAGGGATGCAAATAAATTATTTCCCAGTTATCCCTTATACATAAAGGTAAAGGTAAAGGACCCCCAGACGGTAAGTCTAGTCAAAGGTGACTATGGGGTGCGGTGCTCATCTCACTTCAGGCTGAGGGAGCCGGCGTTTGTCCACAGACAGCTTTTCAGGTCATGTGGCCGGCATGTACTCATACTAGAATAGTTATCCCATTGTTTATTCACTATAGATAATGCCCCCTCCACAGGATATTTTGTATGCTTATCCCAAACTGTAGGAATGCACTGCTTTCTGATCGCTCTAGGGAATGAGCTACTTACACACACATTCTGTGGCACATCTGTTTTGCAGGCTCCTCTGCCTAAATGTAGATTAACAGCATGTCCACAAATCCTGCACGAAGACAAAAAAGGGTAAGGTGTTAAGCATTGCCGCCAATAGTTCTAACTTTTATTTATACAACCGCTTAACCTAAAAAGAAACTAAATCTCCAAACAGTTAACAAGAAAGAATATAATTGTCAGATCACCAATAAAATCTAGGTGATATATACGAAATCATAATGCTAAGCAGTGCAACCAGGGAAAACAAATACATTTTTTTAAAAGCACCTGAAAATGCCATTGTTGATGCCTCCCAAATGACACAAGGGAAGGCCACAGCATAGTCAGCAAGGCCTCCTACGATGATTCTCAGGGTCCACTGAGTCTGAACTGAGGAAAGTGATCTGCTAGTGGTCCCAAGTTGTCTAAGGTTTTAAATGGCAATATTAAAAACCTTGAACACGGCTTGGTTGCCAATGAACAGCCACTGCAATTTTTAAAATGGAGGAGTAATGTGTGTACAGCCAGGGACTCTGCTCAGCACCCTACCTGCTGCATTCTGCATGAGCTGCAACTTCCAAACGAAGCCCAGAGGCAGCCCCAGTTTATTGGTTACCCAAATAATTGGTTACCCAAAAGTAATTCCTATTAGAACAGGAATGTCAATTACATTGGGAAGACTGGGAGCAATTAAGTAATCTTCTAGGAAAGCAGCTTTTTCTTGAAACAAAAAAATACACTGAAACAGAAGTATCTGAAGAAGTGTGCATGCACACGAAAGCTCATACCAAGAACTAACTTAGTTGGTCTTTAAGGTGCTACTGGAAGGAATTTTTTTTGTTTTGACTATGGCAGACCAACACGGCTACCTATCTGTAACTGGAGCTTTTTCTTGATTAGGCTTCCATGGGCACAAAGACACACAGGGTTGGGGTTTCCATCTTGCGTAGAAATAAAATGCATCATTCATTCATTACCTGCCTTTTTTCTTAGATGGGACTCAAGGTGGCTTACAGATAAAAACAAGAACTGCTAGAAACATAGAAAAATCCATCATTAAAATACAATTAAATATTGAATGAATTAAAACTATATGCATATTTTTTTAAAAAAACTATTTTAAACACTGCAATAATCGCAATAAAAACAGCATGGCAGCAGCCTTTTCATTAAAACCAGTCAATTCCCAAAAGCCTGTTGGAACAAGAACGTCTTTACCTGCTGGCAGAAAGACAGCAAGAAGGGAGCCAGTCTGACTTCTCTAGTGAGGGAGTTCCAAAGTCTGGGAGCCGCTGTGCATGAAGCGTGTGTGAAGACAACCCTCAAAACTATCAAAGCCTCTCTCTGTGTGTGTTTTTTATCTCCATGTGGCTTAGAATATCAGATCATAAATCATATGCAGTCAAAGTTCAAGGAGGCCAGCTAGAAGGAAGTTTTTGCCAAGACTTTATATAGAACTGCCACCAGTATTTTTATTAAGATGTTTTTATTTTAAAAAAGGGTGTGGGGGGGGAATAGGAAAGTCGAAGGCTATACAAAATTGCCCAGAGGTGCTACAGGCAGGTGTAATACTCAAGCCTGTTGTTTCTGCTTCTAGCCCATTAAATTTATTTTTAACATCCCTTTTAAAGAAAACAGGAAAGATCTGTGTGAAGTTTTAGTGGTGTATGCTCAGCAGAAGAGGATTAGTACAGAAGGTAACAGACTGCGCTCATACTACCCACAACAATGTTTACTGGTGATCAGTCAGTGGAACAAACCAGAAATATAACCTGCCATGTCCAGACAGAATTAAAATAGTCCTTATTTATCAATGTGACCAAAATAATAATCACCCCACTGCTTTTGGAGCTCTTGGCTCCCCCCTTTTGTTTTTAATAACCTAAATCATTTGGTACAATCATCAGCAAACCGGGTGAACTTTTAAAGGGCCTTTGAAGTAGCGGGGAAAGAGCAAGGGAAGAGAAGTTTTACTTCTTGGTTGTTCCAGGGAGAAGTTTGAGGAATAAGGGAAAGCAAGAAAGAATGCCAGATTTATCGACATACTTCTGGACCAAATTCATGCAGTGGCGTTCTGTCAGAATTTTAAAGAAAGTAACACTTTTCTTTTGGCAGTAGCAACCAGAATTCTGGAGCTCGCAGGAAAAACAAGACTTCCCCCAGGTTATGACAACAAAGCTTGAGATGCTCTGATTCTGAACAAATGGATATAATTAAAGCTGGTGGCCAGTTCACACAGACACCTGCACCTGCACAGGACTTAACCCAGAGGCCCTTTGGATGTTGCTGAACTACAACTCCCATCAGGCCAAGCAAGCATGGACAATGGGCAGGGATTATGGGAGTTGCAGTTCAGCAAACCTCTGGAAGGCCAAACTATCTGACCTAACCCAAAGGCAGGAAAGTCAGCATATACTTGGGGAGTTTTTAATAGATATCAAGGAGATTGTTTGCTCAGTTTATTGTGCAACAGTTGGAATAATATCTTATCGAGAGGAGTGACTGTAGAGATCATTATTAATGGAGAAAGATAGAGCCACTTCATTCCTATTACTTGGCAGCTTGAACAGACACAGACATTGTAGAAACAAATGTAGAAACATACCAGGGTGAGCCAAAATGAAACCTTCCACGCACTGGTATTATGTCAAAGAACTGACACAACCTGCTCCCTCACCAGAAAATTGCAGTTTTAAATAACTTTTAAAAGAGTGGAAAAACCAGGGCTCAAGATGATCTGGTTACAGCATTCTCTGACCTAATCCCTAGTGTGCAGAGACTTTGTAGTTCCTCAGTAGTGAGTGAAAAGAAACTGTGCTTACCTTCATCTATGTTTACTTGGTGTGTCTCAAGGTTGAGCCCTGGCACACATTAAAGTACCAAGCATAAGCACATTTGCTGAAGTCCAGCAGAACGTTCATGCAATGCCCCTTGAAAGCCAGGCCAATATTCTTGGCTTCATGTAACAGAGATAAGGACTGACGCTGGAGGAATAGTGACTTGCGCAAGACCATCCAGTGGCCATCATGTGGTGAGGTTTGAACTGAGGATCAAACATCCAAGCTCACAGCTCATTCTTTTAATGAGTACAAGCCGTTCCCTTCCCTTGTGGTTGCTTCATGACGATGAATCTGCTCAGCACCTTTAATCAACAGCTGAGGTCCTCTTTTAGGACCCCTCTGCCATCTAAAATAAAGTAGATGTGAACCTGAGAGAAGGCCTTTTCATTTCTAGCACCCAGTGTTTAGAACAGCCTCTTGAAGAGATGCTAAATCAACATACCTGTATGTTGATAAGCTACCTTGTGTACTGCAGCCTAACAAAACGGTGGGGTAAACATTTTTTAACATTTCTAGATCTATTTCTAAGGATAATCATAGGCAAGCGATCTAAACTGAGAGTTTAGTAGCTACAGAATTAAGAAACATCCAAGGATTGGTGCCCAGTAACAAAGAATTGCAACATGCATGGTGTGTTTACTGCCTCTACAGAGACTCCTAATCCGACACTGGAAAAAGGGGGAGATGTTCTGTACTAGGCACTCTATATGCTTATCAGCACCATAATTAATCACATCTGCTTCCAGAGAGTTTCCCTGTCAAAAGACCCCATGAAAAATCCACAACATCCACCATGAGTCACATGAGGCTGGAGGAGCTGTGAGGGAAGATTAAAACTAAGGCCCATGGAGGCGGATGTTCCCTGATCACGTCAAATTTGTATTTCAAAGCCATTTTCGGAATGGACAGTTTTCTGGCCTTTGTTTCTGTGTGTAGGTGAAAAGGAGTAAAGGGGGGGGGGGAATGGACCACTGCTTAGGGGAACCTTTTGTTTGCTATTCATAACCTCCTGTTAAGATGGATTTCAAAAGGTCATGAATAGTTTGTGGAAATTAAAAGCAGGAGGGAGGGTTTCCAAACAACACACCCTCTCTCTCAAGCTGTGCTTATTGCTGTATTAGCCTCACCCTTTCAGGGGATTATAAAGCTTCTGAAAAGATTAACCTTTTAACATAATTCAGTAACAAAACACAAGCAGGGGTGCCCAGGTGAGGCCTGCTTTTCCAATGCCCCTTCCCCACCTCAGAGGATTAACGTTTTAACATTAGAAACTAGAGCACTCTGTTTCTGGAAGGAGTCTATCCTTCTTGAGAGCTGTTTTCTTCGTTCTCAAGCACATATGTTACAGATTACCACTGACCTCACTCCCAAGTCTGCACGCTTAGCACATCATAACCCAATGTACTTGCTTTCCCACTGGTGGGAAGAGGGAAGTGAGACTGTGGCCCAGTGCCCTCCGTGTGCTGTTGGAATCTCCCTCAGGATCTCTGGAATATCTTCATACTTTCCTGGCTCTCCAACTCACCAAAACAAATGCAGAGCCTGTAAGCATTTCTGCCTGACACTTTTTAACACACCATGCAGACAAAACAGCTTGGGATATATACATATGCCAAGTATAGCATGTGGTCTAAGGCGAAATGTGTACAGATTGGGCAAGAGAAGCCTGTATCTGCTAGTCAACCATCTCTGCACACCATTCCACGCTGCTTCTTAAAAATATCGACAGATATGGGAATCCAAAAACCCTGCAGCACTATGGGCTCATCCAGACTTCCTTTCATGCTATGCTTTCAAGGCACAGGTCCTGTGCTTTAAAGCTCCATGTCTGAAGAAGGGAGGTTGGTTTTTTTGTCCCAGAGCTTTCTCTGGGCAACCCATCCTTTACCACTGAATCAGAGCAAACAGCAGTCTGCAGGAAACTGCAGTGCAACTGGCAGTGAGAACAAGCTCAAGGGTTTTTGAACCTGTGGCATGCCTATTGCTGAGGGCAACGTGGAGCCACCAGCTAATCATAACATGACTAGAAGACCTGCATACCAATCCGCGTAACACATTGGTGACAGCTATACTAATAGCAGCAGCAGGTACAAGGATTCAAGCAAGAATAATCTCAGGGATAAAAGGAAAGGAGTGAATTGTTTCACGTAGGCAGCTGTTCTTTGTAGATAAATGACAGCATCCTGGAGAACTATTACTTGTTGTTCCTTGTTGCTTTATTCTAGTCAGGTCAGATAGCCTAGGAATGGAGGGATTAGAACAATAGTTAAATCTCAACTTTCACTTGGGCTGAACAAATTGCTGCAGCCCTCAGACTGGCATTGGTGATGGCCATTTATTACGTGTTAAGTAGGCAAGACCAGAGGGACAAGGAAGCAGGGGGAGGGGAGGAGTACCAATTATGCTTGCTTAAGGAACTTATTCATTTTGCATTTGATAATGATAAAGTTGCACATATTCTTGCAGCAGTGCGGATCAACGATTACAAGCAGCCCCTCCCCTTTTCAGTGTCCTGTAATTGCCTGTTGCCATATGCTTGTTTTCAACTGCACAGAAACAGAGGAAACAAAAAGCCACCCCAGCCTGTTGGAAATGTCACGGTAGGATGCTGTTTGTTTTGAAAAGCAGCCGTTCAGGGCTGCAAGCCAAGGCAAAGCTGGCCTTGGCCACAGCAGCACCTATCAAGGAGCACAAGGCTTTATCACAGGGCCATGAGAAAGGACACCGGAGCCACTTGACAGGATCACTGAGAGCTCTAAGCAGCATTGTTTAATGCCCTTTACCTCCTCCCCAACTGGTCACCCCATGGGCCTGCAAAGCAGCCCTCAAAGATAATATTTACCCAGCAAAAACAAACTTTGACATACCAATACCAGGAGAAATATATGAGTTCAGGTAGGAGTGCCTTGGCTGCCTGTGGATTTTATTTCCTCTTTCCTTATTAGCTGCTTCAAGATTTTAACTGGAGCCTGAATGGATTTTTAAAAACACTTTTAGGGTCATGGAGGTGACTGAAACAAGGCCATTTACGGAACACAAATCATTGCAGAAATCCCTTCTAAGACTCAAAGATCACACAGGAAGAGCAAAGGTAAAACGGTACATTGCTAAGTCAAATGGGAGCTGGTGATCTTGAAAAAGCTGAGAAGAACAAGCTTTTCTCAACCCCCTTTGGATTGCATGCAGATATATAGAACTATAAAATGCATCCACATCTCTATCTCTGTGTGTGCAGCGCTTTTTTTCTTTAAAAAAATAGTTTAGGGGGACTCTCATTTTCCTGCTCATATTAAAATACTGCCCCTCAATGAGGCCAAACTTAGATTCACAAAATATTTAGGGGTATGCTGTGTCCCCCCAGAAAAAAGCACTGTATGTATTTACATACATACGCACACACACTTGTTTCCGAGGATCATAGAATTAATGCTTTATCTTGGTTTTGCATGAATCCAAACTATCCATTGGGAGGTATACAACATGCAAAACACACCACTTGGCATCATGTTCTGGCCAGATTTGCATCCTTCAGTAGCACCTGTTATAAAGCTAGACTATTAGCTGCTGCAAGAAGATTTCTCTTACAGTTAAGTGTCTGAGGAGGTGGACTAACGTGTAAATGCCAAGGATTGCATGAGAGCCCCAGGAGTCTAGGATGCAGTCTAGGAATCATTTTACCACCACTGTTTGTGTGAGCTAGGCCTAGGTTTCGAACATCATACATACCCTCGTTGTCTCCAAGAGCACGGAATTGGTAGGATACCTAGTGGTCCTTTAATTGAACTTCCTGCCCCAAGGCAGTCTTTCCTGAAACAACTCTGATATCTCAAGTCCTATAATTTCTGACTTCTTGTGGCAGCCTGCTCAGAATGTTCCTCTGTAGGGAGAATCAAGTCCTGATGGGCAACTGTGTGTAAGCATACTTGGGAATGGGGCTTGTACTCAAGAGTCTTAGATCACTATTCGAAGTTAATCCAAGTTGCAATGTCATTATTCTCCCTCATGTACGGATGAAAAGAAATGGTTTTATTGAGAGCATGGGGGGTAGAACAGAAAAAGAAAGCCAAACAGGAAATATGAGTTCAATGAGATGCATGCAAATATATGAATCTCAGGAACTCAAAACAGGCCACACATGCAAATATAATCTCTTCGGCAAATGGATTTTGCTCGGTTTTCCTTGAAAAATAACAAGTGCTTGTTTGTTTGTCTCTTCTCTTCATCAAGGAGCTCATTTGCTTCCATTTAATGTTGAAAAGAATATGCTCTCACCCTTTGTCCATTTTATTAATGTAACATGGGGGCAGAGAATCATCCAGTGACGTGAAAAGGGTCTCTGGAAGGAAATTAAATTATCTGCACTTTGATGCTCCCTTTCAACTTCAAATAATAGATATACAGGATTAATCCCTTCAATTTCCTGACTGGTCAGCTGATGGGTCTGAAAAACAGTCCTCAAAGACAATATTTACCCCCTATATCCATGTTCCGTTTGGAAGCATATGAATGTAGGGCTCTGATCCACAATCGCGTTCTCAGCACTCTCACAAATCTAAAAATTCTCAGTTTTCTGTAAGAAGAAGTCTTTAATATGGTCGTGGAGAAGTGGCTTTCATCCTTTAAAAAGGAACAAGCACTAACAAAAGCTGCAATACAGGGAAATATATACAAAGCTGCATTATAGCAAGTTAAACCATGAGTCTATCTAGCAGAGAACCAACAAAACCATTGCAATTCTTCTAGCTCAACATAGCCACACCCTTCCCCCAGAGCGTCCATTAAAGTGTTCTGTTGCACAGTTCTCCACCGCCCATGTGTCATGTCAGGCACTTTGGAATGAACCACTATAATGGGCTACGAAGGGAGAGCTGCTGTCAAACACTCCACACCTGGCTAGAGTGAAAACTCATCACGTTAGGCAGACTGGGCAGCAGGAGAACCCAGATCTAACAGTAAAAAAGTCAAGCTGTATTATACCAGTAACCCAAG